CAAATTCCAAGGATTAGGACTTGATATCTAAAAAGGTGTTTTTGCAAGTATATAGAAACAATTTCTTTAATATATTGATATTGTATTCTGAAACTCTTCTTAACTCACTATTTCTAGTGGTTTTTTTTTTATATATTGATTTCTTAGTGTTTTTCAATGTAAGTAATTGTGTCATCAGAAAATGTTATGCTTTATATTTATTTTTCTTGCATTATTGTGCTGAATGCAATACTTTTAATCTTAAAATGTAAACATTATAAAATAATGTGGATTTAATCATTTACAAATAATTTCAATCATTTACAAATAATTGCACAGTTTTGCGAAGGTTAATGTGACTCAGTTTCACCTTTATAAAGACAACTCTCAAATCTGTATTGTAAACCTGACCTCTCTCTGGGATTCCAGGACTTGATCTAAATGCCTCATAGATTTTTCACACCTGGATAACTCATTAATACCTCAGCATTAATCGTCAATCCAACAGCAGCATTAGCATCTCTTTAAATTAGCTTTTCTTCATCTGTGACTGTCACTAACACTGTCAATTCACTATGGCTTGAACTCTCAGTCATCTTTGATTCCTCTCTCTAATTCTGTATTTTGTTTTTTATTGCTTTAAATGTTCAGAAATATCTTTTCAAATGATCATTCACCCCCATCTTCATGCTATACTTTAGTTCAAACCCCTTACACTTGACTTTCTCAATACATAGTCTTCATTTACTCTTCCTGACCCTCCGTCTCTTTACAAATTCATTCTTTTTTTTTTTTTCAGAATTATCTTTTGTAAGCCCACTTGATTATGTTGTACTTCTGCCCTGTAACAGAATTACTATCCCTTACTTGGTCCTCAGCATGTACTCTCTCACGTTGCTTATCTTTTTATATATATGCCCATCTCCCTAACCAGACCATAGTTACATGAGAGCAGGAACTGGGTGTTACTTTCATATCTCCGTAGCAGATTTCATAGGAAATGATCTACAAATAAATGTTCGTTGATGAGGATTATGACATGCTTTTCTGAAGGGGGAGGATTTGATAATACTGATGGTGCAAATATGTGTGACTTAGCTAATTTTCCCCTCCAGAAAACCACAGAGGAAGAGCACAGTGTCAATGAACTTGGGCACCTCCCAGGAAGAACTTTGCAAAATCTCCTATTGTAAAAATTTAAATAGAAAACTTAAACAACAAATGCAAATATTTCGATTTCTATTAACATCCTTTTATCTCCCTTTCTGAAGATATTTGCTTTACTGAAAACTCTAAAAAGTGTCTTTTTGCAAGTAAAGGTAATGTTTTGACAGTTATAACTGATAGATTGTTCAATTCCCATCTAAACCTTAGAATTTAGTTTAAAATAGTAAATTGCTTCATGACTTCTGGGTCAGAAAAATATTTTAACACCTATTTCTTTAATAAATAAATTCAGAGTATAAAAGAGTTTAGAATAAAAGTAAGTCTCCCCTCCACTCATGACCCACCATCCTTAAGTCCTTCCCCAGACCCTGCTTATAAAAAAAAAAAAAATCACTCCTCCTTTATGTCTACACTTGATCACTTTCTGAATAGTTCACTTTTGACACTTCTCACCAAATGCGTGGGATGTGGTATGGGGAGTCAGATTCCCTTCCTCCAAGCAATTCTCAGATTCTCCAGATACCAGCTGGTATGCTTTAGTCCTCCCCCAACCCCTGCTTATAAAAAAAAAAAAAAAAAAAAAATCACTCCTTTGTGTCTACACTTGATCACTTTTTGAATAGTTCACTTTTGACATTTCTCACCAAATGCATGGGATGTGGTATGGGGAGTCAGATTCCCTCCCTCCAAGCAATTCTCAGATTCTCAGGATACCAGACGGTTGTTCCACAATTCAATTCAGTTCTGACACTATCTATGGGGAGGTAGCCTCAGATCCCACAGGTTAAGGGCTCAGTCCCACAAGACTGGTCCGCCTCCCTCACTTCAGTCTCCAATCACAAGTGCACGTTGTTACCTTTAAATCTGACTGGCTATCAGTCAGAAGTTCCCCCGATCCTCAACTCAAATTTGATTAATTTACTAGAGTGGATCACAGAACTCGAGAAAACAGTGTACTTACTAGATTACCAGTTTATTACAAAGGATATTAAAGGATATGAATAAACAGCCAGATGAAGGGATACATACGGTGCGGTCCAGCAGAGTCCCAAGCATAGGAGCTTCTAACCTCTTAGAGCAGGGATTCCCAAGCCCTGAGCTGCAGACCTGTAGGTCTGTGGCCTGATAGGAACTGGGCCACACAGTAGGAGGTGAGCGGCTGGTAAGTGAGCAAAGCTTTATCTGTATTTGCAGCCGCTCTCCAAGATTAGCATCACAACCTCAGCTCCACCTCAGATAATCAGGCATTAGATTCTCATAGGAGCACCAGTCCCTGGTGCCAAAAAGGTTGGTAACCACTGTCTTAGAGTTCAGATGCACAATTTTCTCAGCACATGGATGCATTCTTATTTATCAACCTGGGAGCTCTGTGAATTGCGTCCTTTTGGGGGTTTATGGAGGATTCATTACATAGGCATAATTGATTAAGTAATTGGCCATCGATGATTTATTCAACCTCTAGTCTGTCCCCACTCTTCAGAGGCGGGGGTGGGGTTAAAAAAATCCAATCCTCTAATCAGGTGATCAGTTGTCCTGGAAACCAGTCGCCATTAATAGGGGCTTTTCTAACATTGCCTCATTAACATAAACTCAGATGTGGTTGAAAGGGATTTGGTATGAATAACGAGACACTTCTTTCACGTTTATTACTTTGGAGATATGTAAGGAGGACAAAAACCAAACATTATAACAAAAGATTCCCCTGTTGCTCTAGTCACTTATGAAATATCAAGGGTTGGGGGAGCTGTGAGCTAGTTGAGGGGACTAAGACAAAATACATATTCTGATAAATCACAATATTACATTGCACTTCACTAGAGCACATCAACTCAAAATACTTTCCTGGGTCAGGCATGCAAGATGAATAATGCACATATGTTTGTTGTATAATACCATTTTAAATCATATTCTTTCAACACCACATAATTTACTTGGTTATGTTCTTCTGCAAAAAACAAATAAACAAAAATGCTCTTTTTTGTTGTTTTGGAAACACCTGACCCGCTTATTCTTTCATTTTCTCACTTTTCATGTAATATAAGTAGTGGTTTCCTTTCATCCTGGGTTTATTCAAGAAAATAAAAGCACAAGCTTCATTATACTTGGTAATTGATACACTCTTCAATTTCAGGAGAACTTGAGGAAAGAATGTGAACTGCTGGAGAGGGCATGCATGTCTGAAGGTCTGAAGGATAGAACCACTCCTTGTCTCACCTGATTTTTTTTTTTTTTTTTTTGCATGTAAGAATGGAGGCTTGGCGTTGTGAGGCCTTCTGATATTTTAAGAGATACCAGATTTTTTTTTAATGTGAAATTTCTTGGTTTTTAAATGTTGCAACAAATCCAATATTATTTTTAAAATACTGGATAAGCCAACAGAAGCCAAGGTCTGCAGGCTGAATTTGGATCAATGGTGGCATTTTGATTATATAATATTTGGCCCTTTTTTCTTACATGATACTTTATATTAGAGATTATTCCTTATCAAGACAAAGAGTTGTTATTATTTGGTTTTAATTTTTTTTCTAAAACAAGTAGGAAATAACAATAACAGAAATTTTTTGTACAAGTCTACACTCCTGGAAAGATCTATAGTTTGGTCAGGTCATTAGTATAGCAAGTTTCTACGTGGACCTGCCATTGAAAGAGTCACCACAGTAAATATAATGAAGAAAATTCCCGGAGTCCTGCATTTGGGAAATTTGCTACCAATGGTTGTGTTTATACTTGGTGTCTTTGTGATGGATGGTTGCTAACTTGAGATTCTGATCTGAAAAGGAATTGTTTTATGCTTTGCCTGAGTGGGGGAAAGGGTGCCCTTGAAGTGAAATAGTGCACAGGACTCTTTGATTTGGGTGTTTGCTATGCCATTAATTGACTTCACTACCTTTATAGGCTATATCTCTTTTATGCGCCCCAGTTTCCTCTTAAAAGATAAAGTGATATGAGTGCAAGGGGAAAGGGTATTTAAAGCCACAGAATAGACTTAGTTTTTTTTATGAAGGTAGAAAGGCAGGAGCCCAGGATCTCTATCTGGCACCCTCCAACACTGAGAGGTTGGGGAGAGGAGAACGAACCAGCGAAGGAGACTGGGAGCAGCAGCTTCTGAAGAAAAGAGAAAATGTAATGTTCTGAAAACCCAAAGGGGAAGCTGACTGTGAAGGACAGTGCTGAGCACCCAACATTCTGAGCTGAATGCTGAGACGTCGTGACCTTTGGCAGTATGGAATTGTTGGAGACGTTGACATGGATCATTTAAACAAATTGGTGATATTAAAAACCAGAGGAAAGCCGGTTAGAGTGACTGAACAAAATCATATCTGACGCCTTTATAAACTGCACAAGCTTATTCCAACCCCAAAGCTGGCGTAATTGATCTGAGCCCCTTTCAGATATGACCCTTTGAGAATCTCGGGCACTTAACCTGTGATTCCTCCTCCTGCCTGCCCGAGATTATTCTAAGGATATAAAAGGGCTTTGTAAATAAAGGCGCTGGGCGAAAGAGTGGGGAATAGAAGCAACCGCTGGTTTTTATTACTTTACTACCGTCCTCATTTTGTACTTTTAAGGCTCCTCCATGCTCCTTCAATCCCTAAATTCTCTTAAGTTAGTACCATCCTGTGAGAATTTACCGATCCGGATTCCACGCCCCTCATCTTTCTCTGTTTCTGCTCAATTCTCGACCCCTCCCCTCCTCGTGTCTTTGACCTGGGAGACTCGAATTCAGAATTCAGATCCGGAAACAAAGAGGAGAGGGACAGACTAGGGGAAGGAAAATGTATTTGTCTAGGCTCTGAGCGCATGCGCTACTCCTCCTCGGACCATTTGTGCTGCTCCCCTAGGAAGGGTGGGGTGGTTGTTTGCCTGACGGACTGAGTACGGGTGCCGGGCGGGTTCTCGCGGAAGTCCATGCGCCATTGGGAGGACCGCAGTGGCTTCTCTGTGTCCTTGTTGCTCAGGGCGTCATCCTGGGTCATTCCTGAAGCAGGAACTGGACTGGGGCTGACACCGGGCCTCCTGCGTAGCCGTCTCAGTGCCTGTGTGACCTCCTCGCTGGAGGGATGTGGCGACTACACCGGGCCGCCGTGGCCTGGTAAGTGCAGCCTCCGACCCAGCCCCGTTATTTCTGGGGCCTCCGGAAAACCGGGTTGTCCCGTCACTATTAACAAAATGTGCAGATGACTCTCAGTAGAGACGGTGGGTGATTGGAGGATTCTGGGATATTTTTGAGGAGTCAGAGTCACAGGAGCCCTGAGTGGGCTTACTTGAGGTGTCAGCTCCAATACTGACCCTTGTCCCTGTTCCTTTGCCACTTGAAGATTCTGCGCACCTTTCAGTCTCGGCCTGTCTTTCTTATCCTTTTGTCCCTGCCCTTTTCACCCTTCTGACCTCGCTGTTAACTCTGTCTCTGGTTGCTTCTGGCGTTTGCCCTCTCCTTCCCGGGTCTCTGATTCTACCGATGTGTCACCCTTTCTGCATCTCTCTTCATTCTTCTGTATCCACGCCAGGCCTACATATTCCTGCATGTACTCTAGCTTTACTCCCTGGGTGAAGGGAACTCTGCCTCTTTACCTAGTCTGCTGAGTGAATGTGATTTAGAGTCAGATCTGGAGCAGAGGTGGTGTTTAGAAATACAGTCTTAAAGCTTGTTTTCAGTGTTTAGGGAGGGAGACTTGCTTTTGGATGCAAGGTGTTAAATGTGGCACCACCATTCTAATCACATTGTTATTGTTGCCCTGACCTGGTTTAATTGTAAGTAGAAAATCACACAAGTCTTTTCATTTCTGTGAGTACAACATGCATTTTAATGAGATTAAATATGACTTTATCTTTACAATGTCCTTTGATACCTTCAGACTTACTGTTACAGGCATTTGATAAGAAGTAACATACATACCTTAAGCAAAGTTTAAAAAAATTTGGTTTTCCTGAATTCCAAACCTCTAAACACCTGTCTTGATTTTTTTTTCAGAACGTTTTAAATGGTGTAGATAATTTATACTGTTTATAAGGAATAGAATCTATTTATTTTATGAAACTTAACTTGAGACTAAATTCAGAACTGGATGGCATACCATAGTTATATATTTGTGAATTAGAGTAATTGAGTAAATTATTTCTAATCTCATGGAATTTTAATTTTAGTTAACCCACAGCCTTTGCTACTGAAATAAATTATTTTCAATCTTTTTATTTCTATTCAGTGTTTACTGGGGAAGCATCTAATTTTATTTCAATAGAAAGAGAAAACACTGCAGAAAATAGCATACTTTATTGGAGCAATTAAGATATGTAGGAAAAACTTTAAAAATGAGTTTAAAAACAAAGTGATTAATAACATATTTGTTTATTCACTTGGATGCTGTTGGGCTAAATTGTTTCTAAAGTTACTATGGACTCCATAGAGTTGTGGCTTTAAAATGTCTTATGTTGATAGCACAGTTTAGCTACTGGCAGAAATAGAGATGTAAAAGGTTCCAAGCCTCAAGCTCTGGAATTAGTCTTTTACTGTAGTCCCTTTGCATATTATGAAGGAGTACATTTAATTCTCTATTTTCTCACAGATGGGAACATAAACATTTTTTGACATACATATCTAAATACATGCTGATAGCCATGTAAGAAGACCAATGACCAACATTCATTTAGGTGCAATAAATATTTATGTAAAATTGTTGAAGAAAGAATTACATATTAGAGACCGGTATACAGGTGAAAAAAGATGGTGAATGAGAGAAAATAGATGATTTCGGGGTGGGGGAATCTTGTGTTGGTTTATATTTGATTTTTAGTTTGGTCGAATATAGAAGTCTGTTCAAAATTCTTTTCCTTCTGAACTGTGAAGGCATTGCTACATTTTTTTCTAGCATGTTTTGTTAACTAATACGAACTCTCAGGACAATACCTGTGTGTACATAGGTATTCTGTTTTTTCCTTCATGGAAGCTTTTAGGATCTTGACCTTATCTTAAAATTCTAAAGGCTTTGTCTAGGCTTGGGTCTTCCCCTTTTCCTATTCCTCCTCTCCCCCACCCATCTGGCCTGGCATTCAGTGGGCCTTTCTGTTAAAAAGAGTCTTTCTTCAGTTCTGGAAAATTTTTCTTCTCTTATTTCTGTATTTTTCTTGATTTATTTTTCCTGTTTTTTTTTTTTTTCTTTTTTTTCTTTTTAGGCACTTATTATACAAATATTGATCTTCTCAGATTGATCCTGTATGTTCATGATTTGCAAATCTGATCTGTACTCATCATCTGTTAATTATGCATATACCACAACATGTGTATATGCATACTTTTAAAAATATTATAAACGTACCTCTGTACTGATTAATTATTTGCATAAGAAATCTACCGTAACCTAATCTTAAAGGATGATATACAAAAATATATATATAGAAGTTTTGGTGCTTTCTTCTCAAATCCCAGTGAATCATTGTATGCATCCCGTGTATTGCATTCTATATACACACCCCATTTCAGATACCACTTTGAGTGACTTAACTTTCCTCTTACATTTTCCACTTTTTCCCTTATATTCTAAGTTCTAGAGATTTTCCTTAATTCATTTTCAGGTGGTGTTGCTTTTCTTTCTTTTTTTTTTTTTTTCGTATTGACCATTACAGCTTTAATTTCCATGAACTCCTTTTTAACATTTATTAAACTCTTAAAGGCATGTGTGATTCTGTAAACTATGTATTGGTCTTCAGTTGCTATCATTAACAACCTGCTTCTATTTTATATCTGCAATATCTTTAGGAAGCCTGAGAATATTAATTAGAATTTCATATCTCCTCTTTTCTCAAGATTAATAATGTTGTTTGTCTTGGTCCTCATCTTAAGAGCTGCTGATTTTCTACAAGGTCCTGGTTATCTAATCATATTTAAACATGAAAGACTAATGATTGACATAGATGCTTGTGTCTACCCCTGAATGAGGAGGCCGATTTAGCAAACTGTGTTCTATGTGTATGATGTATGAGTTAGCAGGCTTCGTTTTAGGGCTTTTAGGGAGTGGGCAGGCTATCTGATCTTGTTACAAATGTCAGTATTGTTGGGGCAAACTCTGGAAAGAATCCTCTCTACTACCCCATTATACACACCACACTCATGCACTCACACACGCACAGGGAATCCTTAGCTCTTCTCTACTAGATTGCTTATCCTGGGTCAAGCGTTGCTATTAACACTCAGCAGCATTGGATTGAGGTGGAGAGTTACCCAAGCCACCTTTCCCTGGTTGGTGCTTCAATAAATCTTCATTTCTTCTCCTCTTTTTATCTTCTTACCTGTCTCTCAGGAGGACCCTGCTGCTGATAAATAGTCTCTCTTGTATGAGCATTGATCTTTTAGGTCATAATCATGAATTGGAAGCTCTAGAAATAATTCTTGAGAATGCCTGTCCAAGTACTAGGATTTTGCTTTGCATTAATTTTCTCTTCCAGAGGACTAATTGAAGAACATTTTACATGTAGTTCCTAACTTGGATTACTATACACTTTATCTCTGTCTCTGTTCCCACCCACTGCTATTACTGCCACCATCGCGGAAATAGGAATTTTAGAGGTTTGGAAATAAAAGAAGAAGAAAGTACAGTAGGTTCTCAGTGTCCAATATCGTTTCGTTATAATGTTGATGAGATGCCATAGGAACTTGTTTATTATCAATTAGCCTATGGTAAAATTAGTTTCATTGTATGTACATCATTTGGCTTAAAGTTGCAGAACTTATTGATGACATTAAGTGAGGATTTATTGTAGTGAAAGACAAAAATATCTTGGGGATATAACCACTCAGTCCGAGTTTGAGTTCATTTATTTAGATATATATTTGAGTTAACGCCTTTCTAAAAATGGCAAATAATTTTTTGAGGGTTAAAGGGCTTTTCATTCATACATTAGTGGAGGTTAGTATAATTAATGTTGAAATGACATTTATTGAGCACTTTTTCTATGGTCACTCCTAGGTTCTTTCACCTTTTTTTTTTTTTTTTTTAAATTTTGCTCTTTAATTCTCCCAATAGCATACATTCATTCAGCAATTTATTGAGTGTCAGTTATTTGCAAGGCATTGGGCTAAGGCTTTAGAAATACAGTAGTAAGCAAAACAGGAACCTGGCCTCTACTGATAAAAGATTGCATTTTATCAGTAGAGAGAAATATTAATCCAATAAATACACTATTATGTAATACGTATTTTATAAGCACTGAAGAAAAAATAATGGGAGCCAAAAACTGTAGCAGGGAGACTTGAATGAGAACGAAGTTTCAAGAAGAGGAGGGAATGCTTGAGGTGAAACCAGTTGTGACAGGAATTAACTGGAGTAATAGGAGTTAAGAAGGTAGAAGAATTTGTCTGAGAAAGTCCTGAGGTGGGAAGGAGTATGGCACTGTCAAGGAACTAGATGCAAACTCGTCTAGTTTGAGAGGGAGCAAGGCAGGAACCAGACCTTGGAGGGCTTTATAGGCCAGGAGTTTGGATTTCATAGGGGGAGACATATAAACGATTTATGCAAGTGAGTAACTGTGATCAGATTTACATTTCAGAAGAGTGCTCTGGTTGTGCTGTAGAGAACACCTTGGTACAGACTGTTGTAGCCGCCCAGGTAAGGAATGGTGGTGGTGAAGATGGGAGAAGTAGAAGATTTGAAATCTGTGTTGGAGTAGAATGAACAGAACTCGAGGGTAAGGGAAGTATCAGGAATGACCCCCAGGTATGTGGATTATGCCGTTGGATAGGTGCTTATTCTAAGATAGGGAGTACTGAAGAGGAGGATCAGGATTTAGGGGGAAGGAGAAGGAGAAATATCAAGGTTTTGGACATCTTGAATATGAAGTAATTTTTTGCTATGTAAGTGGTAATGTTAAGTAGGCAGTTGGACACCAGGATCTGGAACTTAACTATTTGTATTAGACATAAATTTGAGAAACATGGGTATGTAGATGGATAAGATTGCCTAGGAAGAACATAAGCAGTGAGAAGAGAAGTGGGTTTAGATCTAAAGCTAAGCCTTGACGAACATTGTCAGATATTACTGAGAGAGTTAAAATGAGAATTGAAAAACCAAATGCTCTTTAGAAAGCTTTTGGCTCACTCAGTAAGAGCTGTTTCACTGAACTGATACAAATGGGAATCAGATCGGTTTGGCTTTTAATGTGGTAGCTAGAGAAGGGAAGTGTGGTCTTTTTTTCTTCTCACCTTTAAGATGAGAGAGACTTGACTTGTGATTCCTGAAAAGGCAGAAGAAAACAGAATTCCAAACAGGATCCCTTGCTGTAATGTTACACGGGTCCTGGGGCAAAGGGACACCTAGAAGAATAGGTATAGGTGCTGTAGGTAAACAGCATGTTTCCCTCTGATGGCTTCTGTCTTCTCCATGAAGTAGGGGACAAGGTCATCCACTGAGAGTTGGAACAAGTATGGGCAGATGTGGGAGGTTAGAGGGGAGTGGAAAATATCTGAAATAGTCTTAGAGTAGAAGAAATGATTGAAAGAAATGAAGTAAGCTTGCAGGCAGTCTTGAGGGCCTAGTGAGCTGTCTGTCCAGTAGGTGTGATTTTCTTCAGTAGTGCTTCATTCTCCTGGTGCAAGCAGGGAGAAATGTGATAATAAGGTTCATCCAGGATTTCTGTTTTGCCAGTCAAGTGACAAAAAAAGTCAGAGGGCAAAGGAGTCTAGAGTATTTGCAAAATAGTTATTGAAACTATGATGAACTAGGGGATTCAAAGGAAATTAATAGGTAAGAAGATAGAAGTCTCAGTGACTTGGGTGTCCCAATAGTGTCAAAGATTGTTATAGTGAAAGCGGATTGTGGTCAGAATAAGATACTTGAATTGGTGATTACTGACTGTTACTCTGATATAACTATTATTTCAATTTAACAGACTGAAAACCTGAGGCTTTGGTAAATTGATAATTTGTGTTTGATTGTCCAACTTGTAAGCAATGAAACAATGATTGGAACCAAAGTTTATCCAACTCAAAAGGCTTAACCAGTAGTTCATAAAGATCTATGCACCCCTATGTTCATGGCGGCACAATATACAATGGCCAAGATATGGAAGTAACCTAAATGCCCATCAACGAATGATTGGGTAAAGAAGTTATGGTTCATATATACAATGGAATATTACTCAGCCATTAAAAAAATGAAATCCTACCATTCTCAACAACATGGATGGACCTACAGTTTATTATGCTGAGTGAAATAAGTCAGACAGAGAAATATAAATACCATGTGATTTCACTTATATGCGGAATCTAAAGAACAAAAAGAACAAACTGATCAAAAACAGACCCATAAATGTAGAGGACAATCTGGTGATGGCCAGAGGGGAGAGGGTTTGGTTGTCTGGGAGAAAGGGGTGAAGGGTTAAAGAAGTACAAATTAGTAGCTGATGGACACTGGGATGGGGAGCACAGCATAGGGAATGCAGTTAGCATTAATGTAATGGCTAGGTGGAGAGCCAGAGGAGAGAAAGAGCAATTAGGGGGATCATTTATAAACTATATAAATGTCTAACCAATGTACTGTATACTTGAAACTAATAATAAAATTAAAAAAAAAAAAAAGACAAGTGGATGTAGGGATAGAGTTGAAAGAAGTTTGAGCTAAATGTTATGGAACTATGAGCTGTTCCCACAGTTGATAAATCTCTTGAGGTTTTTTATATCTTTAAGTGATAACTTTAGTTGTCCCAGGTAAAACATTATGGTTGTTATTTACCCTTTTCCCTCCTCCTATGTCTAGTCTGTCATTCCAGTATCTACCTCTCCCTTCCCTTTCTCACTGCTGCCAGCTCACTTTAGTTTCTTCTCATATCTGGGCAACTGAAATAAGATCACCTTTTTTCTCCTCTTTTGATTAACTTACCTGTCTCCTGATCTAACATTGTGGCTTTGTGATTCCGGGCGGCATAACAAGTTACCACATACTGAGTGGCTTAAACAACAAACATTTATTGTTCACAGTTCTGGAAGCTGAGAAGTCCAAGATCAAGGCACTGGCAGATTTGGTGTCTGGTGAAGGCCTGCCTCCTGGTTCTTAGACGGCCATCTTCTCACTGTGTCCTCCCATGGTGGGGAGAAAGAGTTCCTTGCTCTTGATCCCCTTAAAAGGACACTGATCCCGTCATGAAGTCTCTATTCTCATGACATGTACAAACCCAATTACCCCTCAAAGACCCCACCTCAAAATACTATCAAATTGGAGATTAGGCTTTAACATTGCCTTTAATATCTTTTTAAATTACTATTCATGTTATTCTATTCCGAAACTTTCAGTGGCTCCCTACAAAATAAAATTGAAACTCAGCCTGATGTTAATTGGCTCTGTAATTTGTTTTTAGACTACCTCTCCAATCTCACCTTCCACGATGAACCTTCTTTGCTAGCTTATCAGGTCTCTTGTCATTTCATTGTCCTACCTCTGTACCCTTACCCCACCTAGATTTCTTGCCCCATTTTTGACTCTTCCCACCGAATTAAGTTTTACTTGGAAATTTTCACTGACCTCAACCCTTAGGGATTACTCACTTTCTTGTGAACTCTTATACCACTTGACTGTCTCTGGCACCCTTGACATGTTATTAATTTTCATGTGTGTATAGTTGCTGGAGCAGAGTCAGTTTTGAAGCTAAAATGTGGACTTTGCTTTTTATATATGCTGAGTTTGAGGTCAGGAGAACTTAATTTTTTGGTTAATAAAAGAAGATAGACCTTTTTATAAGATAGGTAAAATTATGATTTATCTTGGAGTCAAAGCTTTAAAAAAGTGTACAGAATGTTTAGCAACTTCTAAAAGGAAATTATGACTAGAAGTATCCTTTACATGTAGAATTAAAAATGAGCAGTGTGCCTAAACCCACAATGTGTATTTTCTCCTACTATTAAATCCTATTTCCCTCAGATTTCCAAAGTTGTAGTGTTTCTAAAGAGTCTTAAAGCAAGGCCCAGTGTCATCCTTAGTGTTCCAGAGCAGGTGACAGGTGCTCTAGAATGTCACCTGTTTGCATATCCACTGTTTTCCACACTCTTACCCACTAGTGTCTTTTGTGGAAAGAATTAAGGCTTTATTGTTAGACTGAATTAAATTTCAATCCCTCTTCCACCATTTACTCGTCATTCTACCTTAGGCAAGACAGTTTAAAAAAGCAAATTGGTAAAATTTGCTTACTTTACTGGGTTTTCTGAGAGGTAATAGTCGCCTTTGTGAATATATCTAGCACAATGCCTGGCATTTCGATACTCCTTTTACCCCGCCGTCCTTCACAAATTGTTTGTGTCTTCCTTGATTCCTTTTTCTTAAGTTTCTAGTCCCATGTAATTAAATGAATTAATATTTTAAAACTACTTAAAACTGGGCCTGGTTCATAGTAAGCACCATGAATGTGTGTTGAATAAGATAAATAATCAGGCATGTGGTTGTTGGTGTTTAACTTCCATTGTCTGCCAGGAAAGAGAAAAAGAGAGCTCAGACAGTAACATGTACGTTCAGATTCTCTTCTCTTTTAGGTTTTTTCTGGGGATCCAGGTGCCTGAGGTGTTAATGATTTTTTCTTAATTTTCATCCCTGGCTATCTCGCAATTGTGAGACATAGATGAGAGGGCAAAGAATAGCTGTTTTAAGCTGCTGGAGTTTCTGTGCTTGAAAGCAAAAGTTTGCATGCATTGTTTTCAACTTTTACTTACAGTGAATAGCATTGATAAAGTAAGTCCTCACCTTATTTCTTTTCTGTTGCAATTCCTTGGACCAAGATTGTAGCCCACATATCGTAAATTAGAGGACGGGCTCTGGAGTCTCACTGCCTGAGTTTGAAACCACCTTTACTCCTTATATCAGTGTGCACTTAGGCAAGTTGCTTCAATTTATGTGCCACCTTTTCCTCGTTTGTAAAATTATCATAGGATTATTAGCAGGGTTCATTGAGATAGCACATGCTACTTCGCTGCCTGGCACCTAGCAAATGATTAGTAAATGTGAACTATTGTATGACATAGTGTGGTTGGCCATATGTACACGCCTGTGTGTTTTCCCTTTTGTATATTGTTCACTTTGTTTCATTTCCTTTATGTGTTGGTACCTTGTCTGATCTTTCTCCCATACCCATTTTTCTTTCAGTGAGGTCTGCCAGTCCCTAGTGAAATGTAGCTCTGGAATAAAAGGAAGCTTACCACTACAAAAACTGCATCTGGTTTCACGAAGTATTTATTCACATCATCCTACCCTAAAGCTTCAAAGACCCCAATTCAGGACATCATTTCAGCAGTTCTCCTCTCTAACTAACCTTCCTTTACGTAAATTGAAACTTTCCCCTATTAAATATGGCTACCAGCCTCGCAGGAATTTTTGGCCAGCAAGATTAGCTGCAAGACTCTTAAAACTTCGTTATCTTGTACTGGGATCTGCTGTTGGAGGTGGTTATACAGCCAAAAAGGTGAGTTTAACTTTCCTACTGCCTTTCCAGTTATTCTGCATGATTATTTTAAGTTTTATAGCATAAATAACTTTCTTTGGTGCAATAAAACATAATTGGATGTTTAAACATTTATTGTGTCTCTTCTATATTCTAGATTGTTTTAATGGTATGAATAGTAATAAGAAAATGCCTTTGAATCTTGGTTATTATTATAAGAGATAAATATGGCCTCGTGGAAGGAATACTGTGCTGGGAGTGAGAACACTTTCATTTGATTTTTCAATTTTCTCCTTTGGTAGCACTGATAAGAAAGTTAAGTGGCCTATTCGTACAACCACTTCCTGGGTGGGACCAGAGGCAGGGTGTCCTGACTCCTGGTCTGTCTTCTATTCCACAGTATTGTTTAAAGCCAAATCATGAAACTTGTTTAATATATTTTGAATTTTTACAGTTTTCATATTCAATAAAAGAACATTTACATTTTTATATGTTTGCATGCTAATTTATTTTTTAAGAGTTGAGGCCACTTTCTTTTCTAAAAGTTTGAACATAAATATATCACTTTAGTAGTTTAGATTGTTTTAATTAAATAAAATAGTTTTTTATATTTTTATATGTCATTCAAGGCATTTGATTGGCATACTTTCTTATCTTTTAGACTTTTGATCAGTGGAAAGATATGATACCAGACCTCAGTGACTATAAATGGATTGTGCCTGACATTGTGTGGGAGATCGATGAATATGTTGATTTTGGTTTGTATCATCACTATTAAAATACTGTTTTTTTGTAGTATCTTTAGGAAAAATAACTTGTGTTCAGATAATTTTCTAACTCATGAGTTTAATGTATAGCAGTTTTATTTTAATGATAAAAATAATAAGAACATCAAAGAAAAAATTATAATAAGAGAAAAAAGTATCCACTAGCCCATCACTTTAACATAGCTGCCACTGTCTTTATGGAGCATTTTCTTTTAATTGTACCTGTTCTTTGTATGTGGTTAATATTTTAGTTTCCTTTTTAAAAAGAAATTGTATAATCGTAGTGTACATACACTTTGATATCTTATCTTTTGCTGCGTCACACACTTTGTCAGTGTTTTTCATGTTGCCAGGCAGCCTTCCCAGACATCATTTTCAGTGTTGTATGTTATCTCGAACAGATAGACCATGACCCACCTAACTAGCTAGTTTTGATTGGATACCTTGATTACCTCTATATTTTGCAACCAGGTTCCTTAAAAGTCTGCTAGTGTCCAGAGTAACTTCTTCATATTATCAGCCACTGTCCCCGCTTTTTCTATTTATTTATTCATTCATTCATTCATTCATTCATTCATTCATTTTTAGGTGAGGCAACCCTTGGTTGACCTCACAGATTGCAAGGACCTTGTCAGTTTACAATCCCTTATTTTTTTTATTTTTTATTTTTTACACTTACAGCACCTGGTCTTCCTAGGTGGTCTCCCATCCAAGTACTAACCATTCTCAACCCTGCTTAGCTTCCGAGATCAGACGGGATCAGGCTTGTTTAGGGTAGCATGGCCATAGACTCCCCCTTTTCTAATAATAGTAGGCGAGGAAAAAGAAATTATATTTGATAACTGTGATTGCCAGTAAGTCATGGAGATCTTAAAAAAATTTTTTTTGGATGAAATTATTTTCCTCAGCCTCCTTTTTAAGACAAATTTCTTAGCTTAGGTGTATATGGGGGTGGAATTAATCTCTACATGCACTCACTAATAGTACTTTCTTAAAACTGCGCTGTGTTGACAAAGGTATTTGAAGAAAACTACTTTTTCAAATTATTTTTTTAATATTTATAAGCAGAGCTTTTTAATTTGATACATTTGACAATTTGGTGTCAGAGACCTAGATTCTACACCTAGACTCCTAGGTTTAAACTCTGACTCCCTTACTTCTTTGCTGTGCGCTTGGATCCAGTTACATAACCTCTGTGCCCCAATTCATCTGAAAAATGGGGTCAATGATAGCTGTTTTGTAGACTTGCTCTGAAGCTTAAGCAAGTTAATACTTTTATAGCACTTAGAATAATAGCTGACACATGTTCTTATTCTGAGACTATTTATATGTTTCAGTCTTCAGAGAAAAGGAGAAAAGCCCTTTCTAATTCATAAGACCCTGGGAAGTTGTACCAGACTTGGACAAAATTGTTGAATGTTCTTAAACAAAAATCAATGCTTGACTATTTTATAACTAAAGCTAGCTAAAATAAAATACAAGCTTGCCTGGGGCTCTTAGTTATTTCCAATTGGTAAGAGATGTGAATCTTTTTAGGGACTATAAAATGAGGGAGAAAAGTAATGGAGTTCTGTCCTTAAATTTGAACTGGGATGTGATAACTTTTTTGAGTTAGGCCAGGTGCTGTAAGAGATGTTTTTCTCTTTTTTCTCTGATTCTTTGCCTCCGTGCTGTTACTTTCTCCCAAAAAGTGTTTCTGATTCCAATCCAGTGTTAACATTGTTAATACAGTGCTTCTTTCTTAAGGCATTTAACTTAAAAATCGAAGATCTCCATCTAAGCCATGGTTTTGGTAAGTCTTTAAAAAATTTCATGGCTTGTAGAATACTATCAGAATAACATTGTGTCCGATAGTTGTAATAGGGAGAAATGGAAAAAAATATTTTGATTTAAATTTATACGTGACTTAAATTTAAATTTTATTGATGTTTTAATAGTCAAATTCTTATTTTGAGATTTTGTTTTTGTCTTCTCCAGAGAAAATTAGAAAAGCTCTTCCTAATTCAGAGGACCTTGCAAAGTTGGCACCCGACTTTGACAAGATTGTTGAAAGCCTCAGCTTACTGAAGGACTTTTTCACCACAGGTAAGGAAGGACCTATATTTGATCTCATTTAAAATGTCAGGAGCCATAGAGGAAAAATAATTACATGCATTTATTTGTTTATTCCTGTCTTTTAAATGAAAGCATTTAGTACAAATGAAAAACAGATTTTCGAAAAAAGATAAACACAAAGTTAGGTTGTGCAGTGATTTTGATTTTTGTTTAGCCCAACAGAATCAAAGTTTGCAAGAACTTAAACAAGCTAGTCTTTAGTCAATCAGGGAAAAAATATCGCTTGTTCTTGACGAGTAGATGAGACTTCCTATGTGTTTGCTTTTCATAATTGGTTAGAGCTAATTTGGTGATTTTAAAACAAATTTAATATGGAGCATAATGAGTAGAATTTACTAAAGTTAATCATGGTGTATTTGCCCAATTACTGCCCTTTCATGATATACATCAAGATCTCAGACATCTTTGTTTGCTCATTCTTGTTAAGTTTTACATTTCTATTTCCCCTTTTGCTGATTTTTCACAGGTCACAAATTGGTTAGTGAAGTCATAGGAGCTTCTGACCTACTTCTCTTGTTAGGTGTGTAAACAGACATTTCTGCTGACCTTAACATGCCTTTTAAATGCTTCTAATAAACTAGTTGCAAATAAAATTGCAGACCAAATTTACAATGCTGCTTATGCTGAATTTTAAAACCTCAGAACCATATTGGGCAAATTCATTCTCCTTTAGGTGGAAATAATAAAATAATTATTTTGTGGTAAAACTAAAATTCCTAAATATATATATGTATTATAAGATTAAAATTATTAAAAAGAAAGTTTGCTTTACCAGAATATTTTCTTGAAATTGATCTGTTTTTGATAATTGAAATGAAAAGTAATTTTAGTTTGTCTCATCTGTCCTGTCATAGTTGACATTTTAAAATTTAAATTTATTTTTTTACTATAAATAGTCTGTTATGGCAGTGGTATATGGCCAGACTGTAAGTACTTTCATGTAAAATAATTCTTATCAAAGATTATCTTATTTTTTTATTGTAATTTTTAGTGATATTTTAAAAAATAGGTTAAACATACTATAATTTTTTTAAAACATTTTGCATAGGTTACCAATATGTTCCTTAAAATTAAAGAATAGTGTTCCAAAAAGTAATACTTGCTCAAAAAATCCATTAGCCTTTTAATTGATTAAATATAATTTGGAATTTAGATTATTGACATCACCGGAGAATTTAAAGGACTCTACATTTATCTTTAAGGTTCACCTGGAGAAACTGCATTTAGAGCAACAGATCGTGGATCTGAAAGTGACAAGCATTATAGAAAGGTAAGAACAAGGAATTCTTCACATAGGTAGTCTTGAATGATTTAAAGTGTTTCTACCTACATGGAAGAATTGAAAATGGCAGCATCTGAGGAGCAAATATAAAACACCTGAGTATTATTACTAATCTTGGTACAAAATGCAAGGTTCTATACAGAAGTTTTCGCAATAGAATTAGAGAAACCCATTCCTTTCAAATATGTTCTGTGAAGTATTAGTTTCAAGAGTTTGTCCCCAACTAAGGAATTTGTTGTTAAATATGTGTGGGAAAAGCTGGTATAAGTAAAACAAGCAGGTTTCTTTTCCCTGGGATTTCTCAGACCTTAATGTACTCATGTGCATTGGGAAGCTCCAGGAAAAGTCAGGGTATACAAGGTTTTCCAGATTTATTTAGCAACAGAACCCTTTTTTATGAAATATCTTTTAGGGACCAATGTTTCATGGCATACAGTTAAGGGAAATATTAAGGAAATTGGAAGCAGATTATTACGGAATAAATTGATTCTATTACATAGATAGTCAACACAATTATGGGGTTATTTAGGGTTTGTCAATTTCAACACATGGATTAACAAAATCCATATGAAAGTTTTAGAAAATTGCTTATGTAGAATAACAAATACATTGCTGTATATATTCATATGTTAACTTGATAGTTCCTTAGTCTTTTTTAATCTTTTAGAATTGGTAAGATAAATGATTCCTTGAAAATTAAAAAATTTGAATAGAAGTTAGCCTATCATGCACAGCTTCTTTTAAGCCCAAGACCTTGACCCTTAATGCATGTAGACTTATTATATACAGAGGAGCTAATGTAACTGGGGAGAAGGAACCTCTGTTACAGATGTGGTAGTGAGTTTTCAAGTGACAAGATTTCTTGTTGCCTAGATCAGTTAAGGGAGGTCTGCATCTTTGTTTTTCTCTGATATGGCCTAGGATCGCTTTGGTGAATGAGAAACCTATTTCAGGGCCTGACTCAGATAATGCCCATAAAATACTACTAAGGCGATAAATGAATAGTCAGTAAATGATCAGGAGCTCTACAATGTAGAAAAAGCAAGAGAATAGATCTCTAGAAATTTAATTATGTTTATAGATTTAATTTTATACTGTAGACATGAAAGCACATGTGTTGTTTTATTTTATAAATTTACTCCTTTGCTTGTTTGAAAATAAATTCCCTTTTAACTTTTTTTTTTTTTTAAGTTTTGGTAATTATCTTGCCCATTAAAAAACTCGAAACTTACTATTTCCAATTATTTGTTGTAAATGCTAAGAGTTGTGATTCAGCTGCTCTCCTTACATGCTAAATCAAATTGTAGCAAATGCTTTTATAAAATTTACTATACAGAAGAAGCATTTACAGCCTCGACTAGTGGTTTTAATTCTATTAATATGCAGCATTATATTTTCAAGGCTTGACTGTTACCTATAATACTTGAGAATAATGAACCCTTCAGACAAGATGTAGAAAAACTGATTTTTAAGAGACTTCTTCAAATTGACAATTTAATGTAAGCATGGAAGGAGAGACCTTAGCATAGCCCTAACCTTTTTGAAATTACTCTAAAACATCAAGTTTGAAAATTTGGGCAATGATCAGAGGTGGTAGGATAGCATTTAGAGTTTAGCTGATACCTTTTTGATTTGTTCAGTCTGGTGTCTCACACACAACCCCAGATTTAAAATGGTATCCAGGATTTGAAGCAGTCATGCCTTCGCTTCATGGTTGTCTGGTTTGTACTTGAGTTTCTGACTCAACTCTAGAAATGTAAAAAGTAAATGTGAATCAAATTTTTTTTAAAAATGTAATAAATTAAAAACATTTCTACAACTAGAACTAAAAAAAAGATTTGTGCTTTCTAATAGGAGAACACATCTGGAGAAGTGCTGGCAAGTAGAGGAACAGTTAGGACCTTTCAAAATCAGCTGAAGTGAAAGTGACGGGGAGTTGAGGGAACACAGATGTCAGATTGTTTGACTTGAGTCAGACAGAATGAACGACATGATGAAGTGATTACCCGTGGTTTCCAGTCTGGGTTCACTATAGACATTTAGGTGTTCTGGAAAATTGTAATGGAGGTCTTCAAAAAGTCTACAAAAAGCATGTCTTTCCATATAACGATATATGGGCTAACTAAACATAAAGTTTCTTTGATTTTACCTGGATTTATCTATCCATTCAGTTTGCGGGCAGTAGTTACATATGTTATGTTGATTAAAAGTTCTGATGTGTATCTTCGATAATTAAAAAATGGAAAAATACTGAAACCACTTTTTAATAAATGCTTTTTGTTAATCAAAAATTTTAAAATGTATACACTGGAGAAAAAATAAGAGAAAGAACCTTTGGTGTAAACTGAATAATATTTTTGAGACCTAGAGACCTTTAGAATTACCAGAAGACAAACTGGAAATCTGAGTGGTGAGCCTATTTTAATGTATTAATGGACTCATCCGATTTGTAAATCAGTAGATTTCTGTATATTGATCATAATATATATATAGTGACAAGACTACTTAGTGTATCTCCTTTTTTAGATTCAGTAAGATTGTTGTGTTCTCGTGAAAATTATTTTGCTAATGAGACATTTTATTGTCTGTGCTTTTGTTGTATTGTGTTTCTGATTAGTCATAAACATGTCATAGAAATAAGGAATATAGTGATTCTGAAGGTTACAAGCACATTTATAACTTACAGAAAATATTCGAAGGACCTTATAAAGCCTAAATTATGAAAAGTGGTATTACTGTTTTAAATATAATTGCTAAACAGTAATACATTACTGCTTTTCCTTTTTACATGTTACTTTTGTGTGGCTTATGTTGTACCTCCCAACTGAAATAGCTTTCTTTCCTTTCCGCTGCCTAATTTCCACTTATCCTTAAAGCCCAGCTCAATAGTCACCTTCATTAAGTCTTCTATAACCATTTTAGTTCCATTAAGTATACTTTTTAACATTTAAAACACTTGCCGTATGAAACGCTATTTACTTTGTTTTCCATTCTTACTGTTCAGTGGAATATTTGTACTGTAGAATCTCTGTTCTCAGAGCTTCAAGGGTAGTGCCGAACTCTTAGCAAAATTAGTTAGTTGATTTAACCCCGTAGAAGAGAGGCTAATTTAAAATAAATAAACTTGATGCTAACAAGAGTGGGCCCAGAGATTTTATATAACATGTCTTTTTGCTCTGATTACCTGTGAATTTCTCTTGGCCTTCGATATTTAGCAAATATTGAGTAGAACAAGAAAGTGAAGGTAGTGCATGTATCTGGTATTCTGAATTGTAATGAAGCACTTTTGCCTAAGTACAATTTATATTTTTGGGATTCCTCATCTAAGAAATATTGTAGTAACTGTGGCAAAATAAAATTTTCACAGTCACTACCATCAATCAGGTAACCACAGATTCAGGAAACTTAAGTTGCCTGAGCAGCTAACAACTAGCAACTTACACTTCGTTAGATTCTTAGCCAGGAAGCCAGATCACTTGTGTACTGGAGTGTAGTAGATGGGAAGCAGAGGGATCAGAGGAAGAAAAGCAGCAAAGATGTGCATGATGAAAAATGGAGTGGTAAAACAGGCAATCTTATTTCTTTAATAATAAGCACACTGCACATTTATGTAATTTAAAAAACATTAAATAAGTGTATACTGTGTATACTCACTTTATAGGAAATTTAGAACAAAGGATTGGTAGAAATTGTAATATTGATAATACTACTGGTAACAGACTAATCTATTTCTCTCTTAAAATTATTATTTGTGGAAATTGTCCAAATGGTAAAATAGAATATGGTATTTGTGAATTGGGGCAAGTTTATCCAAGTAGAAAGGCACATTTCCTTCTGATAACCAATAATACACATTTTCAGCTCATTATAAATATTACGAACAGAGTTACCTATTACTGGGAAAGAAAAAAATAGAAAATAGTTCTTTTTAGCTAGTGAAATAGCAGAATTATTCAAACATGAAAAGTAGTTTAATGGCTAGAAATATTTTTTAAATGGAAAGAGAAAGATGTCTTCACTTTCACAAAGCTCTTTTGGACCCAAGTTACTTATTAAACTAATACAGCAGGAGTTAGCAAACTTTTTCTTAAAGGACCAAATAGCAAATATTTTAGGTTTGCAGGCCCTAAGTTTTCTGGGTTACTCAGCAAGCCCATCATAGTTTGCTACTCCTTCTCTAAAGGGTTATTTAAATATGCTTTTCAAAGTATTGTAACATTATAATCTTTTAAATATAGATTGAACCTGAAGGGTCAAAGGTACTTTGAAAATATTGAGTGCTAACAGGACGGTATCAGGTGCAAACTTTGTAGTCACACGGCCTGCAGTCAGATCCTGCCTTTCATACTTTCTAAGCTGCATGACCTTGGACAAGTTCCTTGCTTCTCTGAGTTTCTGGTCTCCTCTTCTGTAAAAGGGGGAGGGTTATAGTGAGGATTATGTAAAGCCCTTTCATACAAAATCTGGCACATAATAAAACTAAGTAAATATTGGCTACTGAATAATGATGATGACTATGATTATTATTATCTTACCATTGAATTAGTGTATGAGTTAACAGCATATGAACATTATTTGACTAATTTCCTCCCTCCTTCTTAATTTCTATGGAGTCTGTTCTGGAGATTGTGAAAATGGAAGAATGGGTTATAGGGTTGATGTGTAGCTTATCTACAGAATAAGCATTTTTTAGGAAATCTGTTTTGGATTTCATGCTAGAAACTCTGTATTACTAGGTAAAAGTAGGGCGCAATTTGATTCATTCAAGCAATAGACGTGTCAAGCCCTACTCTAGGTTCTGGCTCTAACACATCTACTATGTCAGGCATTATTCTAGGTGCTAGGTATAAAAACAAACAGGATATGGGCCTTGCTCTGCTATAGATTTTTAAAATACTGTTAAAATATATTTTAAATGTACTCACATATAAATGACTTATAATTTCAAGATTATTTAAATTTTTTTCTACCAAACTCATCAGCTTTTAGGTTTTTGCAGCATTTCTAGTTGATATTTTGGTTTCTGGAGTTATCACTGACTTATTCTGACATAATGTTTTTTAAAACTGTGAACACTATATATGAAATATGAGACTATGAGGGTTGCAGTATCAAACTGGCAATAGCTAGAAGATATTTTGAAAGTATATCATCTGTAATTGTTTATAACAACTTATTAATAGCAATTATACTTATATGTAATACATATTTAAAAATATGTGCTCTTGAGAGAAAATATGTCTGAGCTTGGGAAATATTTGTTGGAAAAACTGTATTTTGTTTATTTAAAGAGTATATTTTGCACAGTAAGTACACACATTTATACCCTTCCTTATTCTCCTTGGCCTTAACTTAGAAGCTATATAGCCTATCAATAAGTAGTTAGGGTGAGATTTAATGCCTAAAATTGGATAAGGGTAACATCCTAATTTAGTTGTGTAGTATAATGTAAGTAACTTTTTCTATATCTAATTCTTGTTTTCTTCCTACACTTTTTCAGGAGATAACAGTTCATTTCAAAAATTTTCTCTTAAAATATTTTCTCTTCAATAACAGACTTGGAAGGAAAGTGAGGTGTCACTAGAAAGAGGGTGTTTTCTTGTCATAGATATTAGAGTATTTACCATACAATTTATATATAGATACAAACAATGGATTAGGGAGGGGTTTTTAAGCTATAAATAAAAAGAGAATCATGTGCCTGATAGACCAACACAGTTAAGAAATGTGGAATATTTTCTCACTGCTTTGGCATTTTATAAATTAGAATACTGGTTGGTATGTTAATTAAAGCATAAGCCAACATGGGAATTCTCTTCTTTAAAAGGGAACTGTTTTGAGAAATCTAAACAATAGGTTGATTAGAAGAAGTAACTGTGATAAGTGACTAAATGAATAAGTTGGATTTAGAATAAAAATAAGTTGGATCTTTCTGTTTGATGAAAAACGTGACAGAAAATGATGGGAATGATGAGAGTAGTGAGTTGGCATTGTCTTTCTTTGATAGACTTATCAATGACTATAAAAGTATTTAAAAGATATATTTTCAAAGGCAAGGCCTTTATAAAGATATATTTTTTTGAATTTGGAAACCATTGTTGAAATTTCGGTTATGTTATTTGCAACTTTGATGTTCTCTTACTTGTCATACAGAAATATCCACTAGTTTCATCCTTTGATTTATAGTAAGTCAGCTAGTTTCATTATTGTTGGTGATGATTATAGCCTCTTATGTTACAATTAAGAATCAAACAAAACAAAAATCCCCAAAATTATATGCTAACTCTTTTTTTTAAAATACTTTTCCATTTGTATTTACTTTAAAAAACAAAAAACCAAATAAACCTTTTTATTTATATAAGTCTTTGGGTTACATGAAGTAAACTAAGTTTACTGGGTGAGTCTACTAATTAAAATTTGACTGTAAAGATAACCAGTATTTTAAGAGACTTTCTAATTGTATTATACAAAATAAGATATTTTGGACAGTTATTTTAAAAAGCTCCGAAGCTATCTGAAACTCCTAATTTAGATTATTTTAATGAGTATTAGTTTTCCTAACTTTTTATTTTTATAATCTGGTAAATACTGATCGCATGTTCACCCAGAACACTTCTTATGCAAATTAAATAATGACCTTATTCATTGTAACTTAATATTTTTAGGGTTTCTAATTGAAAAAATATTAACCTTGCGGCTTTTCTCCCACATTTCTCGAGATTAATTAACAAATAGGGCAGCAATTAAAAATAATGTACAGAAAATGATCTTTTTAGTATCGTGTCATGTGTGAGTACATTGTGATAAAAACCACACCAGATTAATATTTCATGACTATTAAATGGAATGAATTTTAAACAGAGAAGTGATGATCATTTTGTGTATAGTCCAAACTAGATTTTGTTTTATTTTTAATTTTAATAATAATTATATTATCTCAGTATCTTAATTATGTTCTTTTATGGTGCTTTTGCTTTAGTAATTGATATGTTCTGGGGTTATATTCTGAGGCTATTTTTATAATGTCAAAACAGTTTATAGAAGGTGAATATTCAATCAAACTACTTATTTGATGTTGTATGAAGTTAAAACAGTACCTAAAACATTATTTTTTAATTTGCAAAAGAAAAAGAACTCTAAATTTTAGTCAAATAAACTTGTGTATATAGGCATGTAGAATATATGGATTAATGTAAATCCTTGATTAACTTGATGCTCAAAAATTCAAATTAATAGTTTTGAGGGACTATTGTTTAATTGAAGATATCAGATATCAAGGAAAAGATTTACTTAAAAATAATAATTTAATAAGTAAATAAGCCATATGTATCCTTCATTCAGTCCTATTAGAATTACGGTTGAGAATTAAAAGATTTAGGCCTGTAAGATCAACACTATTCAAAATTTCAGTTTTGTTTTTTTTTTCCTCATATGTATAAAGTCTGGAGCATATACTAGTTCATATTGGCAATTCAAAAATAAGGGTTGAGGTATTTGTTTTTTTTGAGTTTCCTATTATGAGGAAATTTAGTTAACTACAGCACCACCTCCCTTGAGCATTCCCATTAGTCTAGGTTTTACCATATGTTGATATTACATATCTGGTTGGTTTTATTCAGCAAACAGTCACTTACTGCATTTTTCTTTCACTTTTTAAACTATGCTGTTTTATATTTCTGAGACATCTAATTTTACTGTGGGGGAAAAATGGAAATATGGTACAGAGTCCAATTATATAATGGCTCTAAAGATACATACATGTTTCCATTTTTTGTTGTAAGCTGTCCATTCCTCCCTGACTTACATCTGTTCCTTTCTTGTGCCCCTTGGTTTAACATTGTTCTCCTCCCCAATTTTCCTCTTCTCCTCATTGTAAACTCATGGCAGGGTCTGCTTGGTGAGCTCATTCTCTTACAACAGCAAATTCAAGAGCATGAAGAGGAAGCACGCAGAGCTGCTGGCCAGTATAGCACGAGCTATGCCCAACAGAAGCGCAAGGTGATGGATGGTTTAAGGGGGCTCCCATGCGTTCACATTAATCAGCCATTTCTACCAAGATCATGTCGCCTTAATCTATTCATGGACTCCGATTGTGAGAAATTATTTTTGCTAAAGAAAAAATATGAAAGATACATAATACAAATATGGAACTTTCCTCAAGTGGATAAAATATATATAAGCCAAAAATATATATTTTCTGAAAATTAGATTATCTGTGAGGGTACATGGATTTGCATTTAGAGAATTATGAATGGCAGTTTATTTGGTCCAGTTACTTTAGTCATCCTAAGTTTGTAGGCAACTTGTCTATTTACTTGTTCCCTAAGTTTTCATTTCTAAAATGAAAAAGATGACTGTCTGTGGTTGACCATGTTAAATTGCTTAAAGCATGAAATGTATTTGTTTTAGCCAAAATGGATCAGCAGAGAGCATTCTTATTTTTTTATACAAGAAAACTATTTTGATTTAACTTTGAGACATAGTTATTCTCATACACTTTGACAATTAATTGCACAAAGTTTGTCCTCATTCATCAATTAAGTCAGTGCAAATAAATTTTTACCTCGGACCCACTGAAATACAGAACATTAGAAATTTGATGTAATTCTGATTGCTAGAGAACAGATTTTACTAAAGGTCAGCATAAATATACAAACATCTGGTTATAGGTACAATCAAGAAGTCCTTAAAAATATGCTTTTGACTGTCAGATGATCCCACAGTGTAGATAGAACCCAAAATTAATGTTAAAAAAGACCTTTGAGTCAAAATGAAATGAATGTAATCATTTTAAAGTTATACTCTGAGCTCTTGAAATCAGCTAATTATGTTACATATATCAGAGAAATTTTTAAGTTATATAAAAATCTTAGGAAGAAAGATTCAGTCATACATATAATTAGCTTCCTGTAGGTTCTGATATTGGAATCAGCCAAATTATAGATAATGATTTAGTGCAGTAATTATGTCGGCTAACTTTGTCTCATTTGGTGGTGGTTAATACTTAGTGCTTATCACAATTCCATTTATTTTTTCAGTATAACTTCCTGGCTTTTCTCAATTCCATGGCTGTGGAATCAACTTCTGTATATTGTTTAGCTTTCAGTGAGTGAATAACATAGGTAGATAAAAAAATAAATTATTTTTTTTTTACTTGATTAAAGTACAAGTGTTGTTACCAAGGAAAGACTTGTTTTAAATGGTGCTTTAGCATTCTCAGTTCTGTATACTGTTGAGAGTACCATTTAAATATTGTAACAGATTGGATGCTTAGGCTGATCCATCCTTTTCTTAGCTTCATTACAGAAAGCAGGGGAAGGAACTATTATGTTCTGATATGTTATTAAGAAATATGAATATAGCTCTAGTTAAGGGTTCTTAAGTGTTCATAAAGGTAAAATAATTTGAAAGGACTCTTATAGGTCTGCCATATGAGATACAGTTTAAGATTTTTTTGACTGATGCTTTAGGGGATATTAGAAGTGAATACTATTCATTTTCTACATTGCCAAAGGTAACTGCTCATTTGAGGCCTACTCTAGACTATTTTCAGGCATAGAGATATTTCTATTTCTAATATTTATTGGATTATCTACATAACTCTTTTATGCTTCCCTTCTCCCATTTGTAAAATAGTGACTGACAGGACTGTTCCCCCATCTGTTTTATTAAGGCATACTAGTGGAGCACCAGACGGGGCTTATTCCTACCCACTTTGGAGTTATCTCGTGTGAAAGTAAATGAGACTTCAAAAACCATAACATCTTCCCTCATACTATCCTGAAAGGTAGTTTCCTTACTGTATCTTCCCAACCATTCGCCTAATAGTACACAGATGACTTTTCAGCCCTTCACTATTATAGTGATCAAGATCCTAATTCATAAGATTTTTATCATTCCCAGCATTTGATGTTTACTTGAGGTATAATCCACAGCTACTTTTTGTTGCTTTTTAATCATTCTTTCTCTCTTGTTGAAAATATAAGTAGGTCTTCATTTTTTTTTAATCTTATTTGTAGAGCTAATAAATTTTCCCTGTATCTTCTGAGCAAAGAGTTTATGCAGTGACAGTAGATTAAAACTGCCATTGGTTGTTTTGCCTCCTATGAATATGTACACATACATAGAAATTTTTATAGTCTTTTGTATATATATTTTGGTATTTCAGAATGGCCACAATGGCTTAGTAGCAAGTCATACTTAAAAATTTTAAATCAGGCTTGGTTTTTGTGAGGAGCTAGTAAAGGTTTTTCTCTTTCAGCTTTAGCTTGTTTCTGCGGAGGATTCCGCTCTTTCTCCCATCAGTTTCACAGCCCTGGAATTGTAGAAAAGCTCTGGTTTCAAGACCATTGATACCCATTTGTCAGGGTGAGTTTTAAATTAATTTCATAATGCAAACAATATATTAAACAACAGGACAAGAATTTGTTCATCCTAAGTAGCTGAATTTTACCAGTAAAATACACCTAAATAAAATATACCCAGATTGCTAGTTAAGACCTCAAATAAGTGCCAGATTGAAAATAGCATCTGCTAGTCTCTTAAGAAAATTTGTAAATATCTTCTTATTAATCTCTAACATTTAGTAAACCTAAAAGTTTTCATCTTGTTTCCCAGAAAATATTTGGTGTAATTTTTGACTCCACCACCACCTGTCATGAATTACAACATTAATCTCTGTGTTCCATTAAACGAAGTAGATAGAAGGTAAAACTATACATGAGTTATTCCTAACAATTGTGTCAGAAGGACAAATGATAAATCTAAATACTCCTAAAAATCTGAATTTATAAAAATCTTAAGTCATGATTCCTAAATACTAATATTAGCATAACAATTGTGTTTATAATATTTTAATGACCTTATATCATTTTAATTTTTGTATACCCTTTTTATTCTACCAAATTACTAAGTTAACCTTTTAAGCCCTTGGCTTATAGTAAACATTCTATTTTTTGTGTGTAATTGTATTAGTTTCTTAATTATTTCCCAAGATATAATGTTGAATTATAATGTCAGAATATGTTGCATGAAATCGTTAAATATTCACATTCAAACTAAAACAGTTTTTACTAATACACTTCATACTAATTTAGCTGCAGTTGGATGAATATTTAATGGAACAAAGTAAATCAAAGTGCCTTTTAAAATAAATTTGGAATTTAATCTGCATAACAAAATTTTTATAACCACATTGTTACAGTATGATGGCATGCCATATGATCAAAATGTGGAATTATTTATTTCTTCATTGGCCTTCAAGATTTTGTTCTTTGGGTTCTGAGTTCCTCTCCAGCTTTCTTGTTTCCTCACAGTTGAGGAGACTATTAATAATTCTTGTCCATTTTACACAATGTAGTCAATTGAAAAAAGCTTCTATCCACAAGTCTCTGCTTCCTATACAGGAATGAGAAAACAGCAATACAGTTTGTTTTATGTTATTTTTTCTTTCTAATTACTGAATCATATTTGGAGATTTTTAGGCATAGGCTTTTAAGGAAAAAATAATATGTGCCTATTGTTGCTAGCAAGCATTGTCATTTTTATTTAAGAGAAGTATTTGGGAAAACTTTGATAAAGTATTTGGAAATAGGAACTAAAATCTCAAAATAACTTTTTATTGCATGGATGAGAATTATTGATGTCTACCTTAATAAGCAAATTATTTCAAACTTTTCCATATATATTTGCAACCATGATGTCTCGATTGCTTAAATAGCCAATGAATGAAGATAAACAAGGATTTACATGAATTTTAACTTGATTTTTGTCTCCTATGAAATAAATTCATGTTTACAAATTTTGATTATCAGAAATTAAACAATTATTTTGAAAGACTGAATATGACAGCTTTGGCATTCACTAAGGAGTCAAAGCACAGTTATGTGGATTTGTCATAAATGACATTTTAATTATAATTGATCATTGTGTTTTATATTTAGAATTGTGACTACTTTAAAGCCTGTTATACAATAAAGTTCTTTGTTGTTTTTGGATATTTTAGAGCTATTAACATTAATAACAATTTGAAGTAGTTTCCGCAATACCTGTGGATTTTGTTCTACTTTATGTCAAATTAATTTTAGTTGCTTTACTCGACTTCATTGCTGCTGATGCATTCGCTACATTATGTATGGGTTAGCATACCTTGCACTGGAACTGAATTTAAAAAAATCATCTCATTCCATTCTGAGCTCTGAAAATGCAAGTCGTTTTTTGCATTTATTAATACTTCCTAATTATAGACTAGAAATGGATGATATTCGCTTAAAATATACACTATTGCAATGAACTTTTTCAGTAGTTGTAAGTGATAACATGTATCCGACTTCACAAAATAATTTCTGTAGGGATATCAATACCTTATTTCTCCAACCATCCAAATGCCTGTGCTTGCACACAGAACAACCTATGAAGAATATAATTACCATATGTGTTGATCTCTTATTTTTCTAAAGAAGTGACTGGAAGGACAACAGGAAAATGGTTGATTTTTAAGAGGTTTACTTAATATAAAATTTTGAGGAGCTATTTTTATCGATGAGATGGATTTAAAATTTGATTTGGTTAAATATGCATATAAAGCCAGTAGTTTTTACTCTTAAAAATACTTTTAAAAAATTAACTTACTTTACACTCTATATAAATGTAATTATAATCAAATCAATTTAATTTATTTAAAATATTTAGGTGTCAGACAAAGAGAAAATTGACCAACTTCAAGAAGAACTTCTGCATACTCAGGTAATTGTCATGAGTAAAAAGAACCAGGGACTTTATTATATGCCAATGTAAGTTTGATGATGTGGAAATTTAATTTTTTAACAAAGCAAAATTTGGAACAGTTTATTGATATGACTTTATTATCAATAGACAAATGTAAAAGCTAATTGGGAAATAAGGAATAAAGAAGGAACTTGATAAGTGTAGTTGACTCATTTATGTATAAAACCTCTTTTTGAGTAAATCTTTTGCTTCTAATTTTAAAGAAACGCTGCCGTAGGAAAAAAAAGGGGAAAGTGGCTGTCTGCATGTCAACTTATGCTTGCGTTTTTACATTTATAGGCTAATTAATAAAGTAACAGTTAAAGAAACTGGACTTGAGTCTACCATAGTCTAGTGGGCCCTCTGGAACTTTTCCTTTGCTTCTCTAAAGCCCAAAAGCAATCAGATAATAACTTTTCTAAAGATATTTCTGGTGCTACTTTGCTTATAGTTGATTATAAAATTATTATTTTAAAGACCTGCGCAATGTAATGAGTTGGTAACATTCTGATGCAAAATTACCTTATCACCCACTCCATTGTTGGTTATTCTATATACATAATAATGATAAGTAATTAAGAAGTTTTTTTTAGGTTAAAAAGACTTCTTTGGTCTCTCTTTTTAGAGAATACAATACAATGGGATAATTCGGCTTATATTAAACAATTAGTATATTTTGAGTCACAGGTTTTCTTGATAGCTGCTATACATTGATTCTTATGCCTGACTATACATTGGTATGTCTGGGTATTACCATATATATTTTTTAAGGCTTCTCAGCCAGGTGATTCCAACCTGCAGCCAGAGGTTAAGAATCATTGGTCACAAAGTGTTGACTCAGGACCAGTGGCATGCTTGGGAACTTGTTAGAAATGCAGATTATTGGCTCCATCCCAGACCTATTGAATTAGAAACTCTGAGAGTAGAACCCAGCGATCTTTGTTTTTAAAGGCCCACAAGTGATTCTGATGCATCCTTGAGTCTGAGAATTATTGGTATAGAATTTTGGAGGACAGCCCAATAGCACACCTCTTCAAGATGGCTACAGATTGGCACCTGTACCAAAGAATGGTTTCATCCCCAGAAATTTTGTAGACTTTCATATTTAGAAAGAAATGAGCCAGTGAAAATCTACTGATATTAACCTTTCAACTTATGCGATTGTAGTAGTAAACCTCTGGGTGTTGACACAAAGACTGTATGGAGAATTATGATATAATAAACCATGGGGTTATCTATATCAGTGATAACCAGTAGAAATGAAACGCAGGCCACATATGTAATTTTAAAAATTTACAATAAAAGGTAAAAATATGTAGAATTGATTTTAATATATTTTATTTAATCTAATATATCCCAAATAGTATCATTTCAACGTGTACTTAGTATAAAAAATATTAGCGAGATGTTCATTTATGTACTGAACATGTGGCTGGTGGCTACCATATTAGATAACAAAGATCTAATTCTGTGATATTGCCAGAATTTTATTATATCTACTGTTACTATATATAAATGAACAAGTTCTGTAAAAAAATGTTTGTAGTAGAATCTAACATATAGTTCTACGTGTCTCATATAGTTCAACTACATAATACATTTTTATTTAAGTTGGACATTCTGTGAGGATAGAGCAGTGATTTCTTGTTACTTACTTTGTTCTTGGAAGATAACAGTAACCTAAAAATTTTTCATATGAAATAGGTTCCATTATAAAAGCCATGATATTTTAAGTTGGACATAAACATTCTTCTGGTTGTTGGATGGAGTAATTCTTAATAGTTTCCAAACATTGTTAATGTTTAGAGAAGAAATAATGTACAAACTGAGAAAGCTAATTGGAAAAAAGATCACATTTACTTGAGAAGAAAAGTGCATAGCCAACCATGTACTTTGACAAAACAGTTAATCTAAATGTATAACTCTTCTTTAAATCTCTTTTTATATCAGTATTTTAAAAAATTGATATGTAATCTCTGGCTGTGGGAACTTACCAAAACTTGGAAGAGTTTGAGTCCTTGACTCAGACGTATTTTCAAAACTCTGTGGCCGTGAAGCGTCTCTAACCTCAGGTTCCTAATCTGTGTAGCTTTTGCCTCATGTAAAGGCTTAAGGAAGTTAATGCAGGTGAAACACTCACTAAAGGGCCTGTCACATAATGCATGCTCTGGTAATTTTTAGCTATTATTATTTTTTATCATTTCAATTAAAACATAAATTAATATGGGGAATGGGAAGAATTTGAGTTTTTGTCAAATGTTCTCATAATGAAGACTTAAAATTTTTGTAGAATAGAAAATATTGCTTCACCAAGTGTACTTAAGAACTTGCTTTAAATTCTTACATTTTTCAGTATTTTTAAATTTAATTTCTTTATTGTAAATGAAGAATTTAGAATGAAGAATTTTCCAAATAAAATGCTAAGTTATAATATAAAACTATAATGAATTTCATTGTTTGTATGAGATACTATTCATAATTTATTCTCTCAACAGTCTCATAGGAGCTTTGTAAATGAAATTATTTAAAATAGGATTTGGAAGCTTTTAATTTAGATTTAATTAATCTTAGTTATTAACCCATCTTTTTCTTATATAATTTTGGTATTATTTTGTTGCAGTTAAAGTACCAGAGAATCTTGGAGCGATTAGAAAAGGAGAACAAAGAATTGAGAAAATTAGTGTTGCAGAAAGATGATAAAGGCATCCATCATAGAAAACTTAAGGTATTTTAAGTTTATCTTACTGTGTTAGTTCTCAGAACTTTGCCACTTCAAATGGTGTGTTCATCAATACTAGTATTTAAGGAACCATAAAGTGTTCTATCATCCTTTTCTTTCTCACCTGATATCCTTCAGGGATAGGGAAGTTCTCTTCCTATATTAGGACATTTCACAAATTATAGTCTTCAGGCAATTGATTCTATACTGTGCCTATAAAATCTTCATTTTTAGCAGTCTTTTCTCATGAATCAATTTAATTTTTTAAAATACCTTGTTTGCATTTAGGCTTTTTTAATTTCTATAGCTATAAAATCGAAATTGTGAGTTGATAGACATTTATTTATTATGTATTGTCATTGCCTTGCTTGCGAATGATTAGGCTACTTTCTTCAGGTTTAAAAGAGTTAACATTTTCTTCTGGAAGGTTCTTTAGGCATTTTAAAGAATTTTTGAAAAAGTATATGCTGGTACTGTTATCAACATATTGGTATTTATCATTATCAATAAATTAAGCTTTACTGCCCACTAAACCAATCTGTGTGTGCTAAATTAAATTGAAGTAGTTATTTTAACTTACATCTCATATAAGTAAAGAGAAATTTGTGTGTAGCAAAACTACAATAAATCAATGCACATGTATTTTGTAGCCATGGTCCAAAAATTTGTAATTATAGTTTAAACAACATGTATTAGTTCTGACTCTAAATCATGACTGTATAGAGCAGATAAATACCATGACTTTATTTACAAGTTACACATGGCAATTGAGAAAAGTCATGTCTAAGTATTAATATATTTTGAGAGTTTATCTCAGAAACAATATTTTCTGTCCTAAAATAAAATAATAATGAAAATTTAAAGAATTTCTTTTTTATTTTAGGTGAATGGGATTGTGGTTACTTTCCATTTATTTCTAGATGTTAAGAGATGAAAGAAACTGTAGGCCTTTATTTTGTTTGTACCTTATTATTGAAACATACCTTTAATTATTAAATGCTTGATAGCAGCCCTTTTTTCCTGGCCTGCTTATTTGTTCATTTATTCATCAAATACTTACTTGAACCTTGTTATTTGCCAGGCACCATGTTTCATCCTTGTTCTACATAAAGAGAGGAACAATACAAGATATCTGCCCCTGGTGCTCTCACATTTTAGTCTGCCCAGTTATCAAACTACACAGTCATTCTTGCTGATTTTAAATAATCTTCTTAGCGATTCTTTCTCTAAATCCTTTCCTCAGACTCTATTTATGTCTATCTCCGTCTCCAACTCCATCTCCACCTCTATCTCTGACACACACATCAAACTTGGCAGAGGATTATTTCCTTTCAGTTAGTCACCTTACCTCTTACTTGGCCTTTATGGTATTAATGGTGTTCCTTTTTGGGGGATTTAATATTAACTCTTCAATATAAAATGACTTCCCTCATTTACTATTTAATTAGAAGGTTAGGAAATTCTGAATTAATGTACTTTAGTGATCAGTATATCTCTAAATAAAATAAATTAGATAAGAAAAAATAGAATTCTACTCAATACTGTTTTATTCAATACTGTTTTTCTGCAATATAATGATTGTGGAAAAACATTTTGGATTTATCAGGTTTTTTTCCTTTTGATGCATCTATGGTTTTTAAAAAACGTTTTCACTGTTTAATATTTTTTTAATGTTATAGAAATCTTTGATTGACATGTATTCTGAAGTTCTTGATGTTCTATCTGATTATGATGCCAGTTATAATACACAAGATCATCTGCCAAGGGTAAGTGAAAAATTAATATATAGTGAACATGCCAATTAGCAAAAAACACTTTAGGTTTTAAAAAAGTATATATACACATATACACAGTATATACACATGATTATATACACACATAGAAAGAACCAGAGACATGAATTTTTTACATATATAATGTTATTTATGTGTTCTAGATGATGTTTTAAGCATTAAATGTTGTTTGACTGTTTTGATTCATTCGTTTACTTATATTTATGTGTCATAAAGGAAGGTTATCAAATATTTGGCATTATATGTTCCCAATATCCATGATTTTAAAATACCTGAACAGTGTATTAAATTCAGCACATGGGTGAAATTTAACCTCAGAATTGAAAATATCTTTGTAAAGAGTAAACTAGCTATTGAAAAGATTTGTGGAACATGAATGATCTGGTTTTAGAAATAGTGGTTTAAATTAGCACAAGTTTTTAATAAAAATTTGGCTATAAATAATGGATCCAATTCATGTTTTACTGTTTATATTCTCCATGTATACACATGTATCAACTATCACTTTTTCATGGATAGTATTTTTAAATCATTTAACCATAGATATTTTAAGAGACTGAAAAATCTCAGCAGCGTTCAAACATATTTAAATTTAAGATTGTATCGAATAATATAAATAAATGTTATTTGTATTGCGGTAAGGTTGTTGTAGTTGGAGATCAGAGTGCTGGAAAAACTAGTGTGTTGGAAATGATTGCTCAAGCACGAATATTTCCTCGAGGATCTGGGGAGATGATGACACGCTCTCCAGTTAAGGTAAGAAAATAGGCCATCTGAATGAAGTTCTTTAGGAAAGTAAGCACTTCAGCAAGCTTTGTTTATTTGTTGCAACGAAGTATTTCAACTAAAGAAAGAATTAACATATAGCATTTGGAATTATTTCTATTGTAGAAATCAATAGGAGGCACAGCCAGGAGGCCAGTGTGACAGGAGCTGAGTGTGAGGGGAGAAAGACAGGAGAGAAGGGCAGAGGTACAGTGGAAGGCCAAGTTATACTGAGTTGTTACTAGGCCTTTGGAGTTTACTTTGAGTAAGGTAAGTGAAAGGCTGAGTAAGAGAATGAAAATCTTGGAAGTGGAGTCAGTAAATATAGATAATTTTCTGGTTGTACTCTGAAAAAGAGTAGGGAAATGATACAGTAGCCATTGAAATATTTTGGGTCAAAGGAATGTTTTTAAAGATATTTATATGCTGTATGTAATGATTAGTTGAGAAAAAAATGATGCAAGAGAGAGGGAGCAAAGAGGGAGCAAAGTCATTGAGGTGAAAGAGCCTGGGACTCGGCGTACAAGTAGTCCATATATAGAAGCACTAATAATTCATTAATAGTTACAGGAAGAAAGTCTGTGGCTACAGAGTCTTTCATTCAACAAATATTCTTTCGGTTCTTAATATGTGCCGACACTGTTCTATGCAGTGTGTTGGTAAACAAAACAAAGATCTTTGCCGTAATGGAGAGTACATTCTAGTAGAGGGAGGCAGATAATAAATAATAAACATAAAAAATGAGTACATTATGTAGTATGTTAGAAGGTGGTAAGTGCTGTCCAAAAAAAAAAAAAAATGGAGCCAGGCAAGGGAAATGGGTGTTGGTAGTCTGCATCAATAAGGTTACATTTGAGCCATGACTTGCAGAAAGTGAGGGAGGAAGTCATGTGGATATCTACTCCAAGAGTATTCCATGTAGAAAGTAAGTTAGTGCAAAGCCCCTGAGGTAGGTAGTTGGCTGTCCTGTTCAAGGCCAGAGCAAGGTGAAGAGTAGTGGGCGATGAGGTCAGAGGAATAATGGTGGCTGGCGGAAGCAGATCATTAGGGCCTTGTAGGTCATCATGCAAACTTTGTTTTTTTATTTTGAATAAAATGGGGAGCCAGTGCAGGGTTTTGACCAGGGTAACAACATTACTTTTTAAAAGGTTCTCTTTGACTACTGTGCTAAAAATAGACATAGGCAATATGGGTAGAACAAGGGAGACCAGGTCTAAGCTATTGGAGTATCCAGGTGATACTTGGACCAGGAAAATAGCAGTGAAGGTGATAGTGATAAGAAATGCTTAGATCTTTTATGAAAGTAGAATCAGGATTTCTTGACATATTTGATATGGAGAGAGAGAAAGTCAGTTGTCAAGATGACTGTGAGGTTTTTGGCCTGAATAAATTAGCTCGTAATTGGCATAGGGTATTCTGCATTAGTGTGAATTAGCTTTGGGGAAGAAAAACAGGAGTTTTGGACTTGCTGAGGTGTGTTAACAAATAAACAGTCAGATACACAAGTTTGGAAAGAGGTCTGGGCTAGAGGCTTAAATTTAGGAGTCATAATCAGATATCTAAATGTGGTATTTAAAGCCGTGATCTTACTAGGTAAGATCACCAAAGGGGTGAGCAGAGACGGAGAAGACAGATGGAAAGATTGTGTCCTGGGCGCTCCCAACATTAAGAGATTGCAGGAGGAGGAAACAAAGAAAGAGCCTGTTAAGGAGCAGCCAGTGTGGTAGGAGGGAAACCAGAACTCTACCATTGGTGCACTAGAAGTCAGGGAAAGAAAATATCCAGGAGAAGGTAGTGATCGGTGAGGTCAATGCTGCTGATAGATCAAGGAAGATGAAGGCTGAGAATTGATCAATGGATTTGCAGTGGAGGCAAGTAAAGAGAATATGTGGAAGTTTCCTTCTGATTGCTTCCACCACCTCAGTGACATACGAAGCTAGACGATTAGCTGTAAAGAGGGGAGAGAAGTATCGAAGACTGAGGTAAGAGGGAAGTGTGAAGTCTTTTCTAGGTGAGTAGTGATTCCAGGGTTGAGTTGAAGAGGGAAGTCGAGAAATACTAGAATTGATGAGTCATACTGAAGTCCCCAATAAGGTCTGTGTACACAAATTTAAAGGGACACTGTGTGGTTGTGGGGGTTATTTTTGTTTGTTTTGTTTTTAGTTGAGCTGGTGGATATAGGTATATAGTAATTGGAAAATTGAAATCACCAAGAATAAAGGCCAGAATAGTAGTAGAAAATGAGATAATGAGGCTGATGCCAAAATCATCCAGGAAAGTCTGTTTATTGTAACTGCAACAGTCCGGTGTGATTCAGTTTATACAGAGTGCACTGTAGGGTGTCTGGCTATAAATTCAACAGTGTTGTGTCAAGCTAGTTTCTTTTTTATTGCTCTGTGATATTGTTTGAATGTACCACATTTTACAGATCCATTTTACTATTGATGGGCATTTGGGATACTTCCAGTTTAGGAAGAAAAAAAATGAACGAACTATACCTCCTATCATGTTCTATAATCAATTGTAACAACATTGTAAAACCTACCTTTTACATTATTACGAACACTGTAATTGTAGTGGCTGTGAATGACTTTATATTTTAGGAAGGAGTGCACTTTCTTCCGGCAGACTGATAGAGCATGGACAGATTTCCTTGAAACCAGCAGAACTAGTCTCTTTTCAGTTTGCCATTACGCCTCCAACATTTACCAGGACCTTCTCCTTGTTGGTAGATTCTGAACTCCAGGTTTTTGTCTCCGCTGGAAGAGATATTGCCTAACTCTTGACTTAGCACGTTAGCCTCTTTAGCAGCTTCTTAAAGTGCAAATGCCTTAAAGGGAAATTGAGTGCAGAATGTAAAGCTTGGAATTTTCCTTCCTGCTGTGCATTTTTCCCTGGGAGCATGACACCTTAAATTGTGGCTGTTGAATTCTGATTTTGTCCCCTCAAGCCAGGGAAACTGCTACAGGCTTTTATCTCAGGCCACCCTGTGCCACAAGTCAGCAAATGCCCAGAGGGAAAATAGCTGCAGGAATTTCCCCCCAAATCCTTTGGAGTCTTGGGTTCAGTCCAGATTGCTCTCTCATACCTTCAAACAGCTGGTTTTGGTTTGTTATCTCACCTGTTTAGCCAAACTCAGTAGAAGGAATTGTATTTTAAAAGCGAATCAGATCAGTATAGAGAAGCTTGAGAAGTTATAATTGAAAATTATATGTGAAGTTAGAAGTTCTTGTGAAACCACTGACTGTTAATATATGTTATTAGAGAATATCTTGCTCAAATCACGCCTTAGGGCGAAGGCTGCCTTAGCTCCCCTTTAGTTAGTACTACCTTCTGCTCTGGCATCCTAGGTTTCAATACAGTGTCCTGTTACCTCTGTGTATTTTTTTCAGTATATAGTAAGGTCTAAACCAGGGACAGTCAATTCTTCACGTTTCCCCACCTAAACACTTGACACAGTTAGCTCTCAATAAATAGATGTTGAATAAATGAATTGTCCTTTACTTAAATTTACCTTTAAAGTTAAAATGCAAGCTTTTTTTACTTTCGAAAGTTTTAGATGGATGGGTTTGTATAGCATTAACTGCAAAACAAGAGAGGCAGCAGCATTTTAGGCCATGAGAGATGTAAATAGCCAACAATCTTGTTGGGCAGTCATAATACATGTGACAGATGTATGCACAATACGGATAAAGAATTCTGTGGTCTCCGTGTTGCCATGTTGACAGCCCCCAAGGATACTCCTGATGTTAGTGTGAAGGGACACCTGGATTTGTGCAGTGCAGTAGCCCTGTCTAGACCATGTAAGTGCCATTGAAATTAATATGAATCATAAATGCATTATTACATCTCGAAAAATTAACATTTTCTGTTTATTTCAGGTGACTCTGAGTGAAGGTCCTCACCACGTAGCCTTATTTAAAGATAGTTCTCGGGAGTTCGACCTTACCAAAGAGGAAGATGTAAGTAGAATTCCTATGAGGTTTATGTGTGTAACTTTATGACCTGTGTAAGCTTCTAAAAGGCAACTAAATGGAATATTTGTTAACCAAAGATTTTCTTAGGATTTTGTTGTTTTCCATTCATAGCTTGCAGCATTAAGACATGAAATAGAACTCCGAATGAGGAAAAATGTGAAAGAAGGCTGCACTGTTAGCCCTGAGGTGAGCATTGCAGTTCATTTCAACAATGTTTTACGGAAATTCAATATTTATGACTTGAAATAAATCATGATATTAGTATTGATGTTTAAATTTTGGATTGCAGCTATTCTAAGATAACATTTTTTTTTTTAATATTTCAAATAATGTCTTTTTTGTGGGGTATTTTCTAGAATAATTACTTTTAGGATCAGAAAAAGAATAACTTTTTTCCGAGAACCATATCTGAATGAATGAGTTATGGAATTTTCAGACTATGTATCACCAAAGAATTTTTAACAAACTCCTCCGCACAATTAATTTAGTTTTGTTTTATTGTGTTTTGTTTTGTTATGTTTTCTCCTGAATAGACCATATCCTTAAATGTAAAAGGCCCGGGGCTACAGAGGATGGTGCTCGTTGACTTACCAGGTGTGATTAATGTAAGTATATAGAAAACATGTATTTTATCTTATTACTGTTGTGGAAAACATTTTTAATGACATTTAAAACCTTTTTCTTTAAGACTGTGACATCAGGCATGGCTCCTGACACAAAGGAAACTATTTTCAGTATCAGCAAAGCTTATATGCAGAATCCTAATGCCATCATACTATGTATTCAAGGTAAATCTCATCAAAAGATTTTAATTGCACTGATATGCTTCCTTCTTTAGCAATTCAAGTTTTGCTCTAAATATGCATGTTATGTAAACATACAAGATAGTTTGTCCTCTCTTACTCATTTATTTTATTAGTAAATAGAATTGAAGTTGGGAATATTTTGATAAATTTTACTGTAGGCATCATAGACATTTTTATTGGCTATAATAGCTAAAATGTATTAAGAAAATTTTCATTACTGTAATGTAGACACAAGGGTGTAGCCTGTGGAAGTTTTTAAAATCTACTTTGCAATTATTACAGTATCTTTTTTCATTTTTTTCCAGATGGATCTGTGGATGCTGAACGCAGCATTGTTACAGATTTGGTCAGTCAAATGGATCCTCATGGAAAAAGGACAATATTTGTTTTGACCAAAGTAGACCTGGCAGAGAAAAATGTGGCTAGTCCAAGCAGGGTGAGGGCAAGTTCTTTATTGCGTGAGAACAAATTCTTTGTATACGCTCCAGTTATGACAGGGACTGGTTGTGAAAAAAAAAAAATTCTTATGGAATATTTTATCAGAGAGTAGTGGTGGGATTTTTCTTGGTTCTCACTAAAAACAAAGTAAATTAATTAAGTATGATTTTGAGGTATAAATAAAATTTCATAATTACAGTTAGTTTGCTTTAGAAATACTTAAACTGCTTATATTGCATACCCTAAATATTTTATATGCTAACACAGTCATTAACCTTATCTGTGGTGTTTCTTTGTAAAACTAGTGGCAGTGTAGATTCCTTTAGGACCTTACGTGTGCCAAGTTTTTTTTTGCAGATAAACATTACCTTTTCTAACTGGTCAAAAACTGTGTGGCAAATTTTTATAATAGAGAAGGCATTAGATGGGTGTCCGGCCTCAGCATTCTTATCCATGCTCTACCACCAACTGGATGTGTCTTTAGGCACATCTAGTCATCTCTAGGGTCATTTTCATTTCTGAAATTCAACTTCTAAACATGTGTTCAGTGTTCCTTCTCTCCCTTGCTGTAACAAAGAAAGAGGTTAATTTCAAGATATTGTTATGTATAGGTCTTATTAGGGTTCAAGTCTTGACTTAGGGCATTCTCTCTACTTAATTGTAAAGGCAAGATAGTGGTTAAGAGTGCAGCATCTGTAGCCAGATTGCTTGGTTTCAAATCCTGGCTGTTCCGTTTGCTAACTGTGTAACCTTTGGTAAGTTATTTAACCTTTTTAGTGCTATAGCCTTCCTCGTCTGTTGGAAATGAAGATATTAATGGTACTGTCTCATAAGTTGTGAAGTTTTAATGAGTTAAATATTTGTTTTAAAGTGGTCGAAATAGTGCTTGACACAAAAGTGTTATATATGTAGTAGCTTCTATCTGTTGTTATTATTATATCTTTATCCCCCATAGAACAACAACTTCATGTATAAGTACCTATCCCTCGTGCTACTGCTTAGAATTTCTCCCCTTCCCAACTGAAACTTTCTGAGAGTATACCTCTCTGTCAGAGGTTCCCAAGACAGACTTCCCCTAGGTTCACTGGTTGTGAACTAAAGGACTCAAGCACATAGTCATGCTTACACCTAAGATTTATTACAGTGATAGGATACAAAAGCAAAATCACAAAGGGAAAAGAAGCAAGAGATGTCTGGAGGAAAGCAGGCTCAAGTTTCTGAGAGTCCTCTCCCAGTAGAGTCACAAAGGACACATTTAATCCCTCCAGCAAGAAGTTAGTCATAGAGACTCAGCACCTAAGATTTTTATTGGTGACTGGTCATGTAGGCACCCTCAAGTACCAAAATTCCAGACGCCCAAAGGAAAGCAGATGTTCAGCATAAACCACATTGCTTCCACAATAAGCTATTGTTCTTTAGGGAAAGTTTTATATCAATGTAGGGAATTGTTTACCAGTTAAGTTCTCAGATGCCATCTAAGGACAGCAGTTTTAGGCCTGCTGTGTTAACTGTTTTAACTCCATGACCTCCACTTTGCCTTCTTCTGTAAGTCCCGCTGAGGCAGTATTGGTCCTGATATGATATGGAGAAGTGAGGTAGAAGCAAATTTCTATGTCTCCTTCCCATCTCTCTTCTTGCCTTTCATTTCTTATTCCTCTTCTCTAGGATAGTGCGTTTGTATTTCTTTTGAAATGCAACTGAAGCTTACATCAGTCCTTTTTTATAGGAGAGAGTGAGAGAGTGTCGGTGTTAGCTTAGGGATGCAGCTCGTCTTATAGGAGGAGTTCTTACATCAGTAAGCGTTTGTCTGAATGGGCTTCGGGGATTAGGGACCCTTATATTGTGTGTGCATGATAGACCTTTGTGCAAATCTGCATTTTTCTGGGGACAAAGTCTATAGTTTTTATCACATTTAGAAAAGGATTTTTGACCTTAAAAGAATTGAGAGCCAATGGATCCAAATATTTTTTTGAAGAAGTAAAAGAAGACAGTCCAACTTAGTTAGAATTTAGATATTTGAAGAAAAGGATGGAGAAATAATAATAGCTACCATTTATTGAGTTTTCTGCATGCCTGGCAGTGTGTTAAGTATCATATTGTCTCATATAATCTACTCAACCATTTTGAAAAAGTTAAGTACCATACTTAAGGCCGCATTGGTAGTAAGTGGCAGAGCAGAAATTCAAACTAAGGCCTGCCTCCAAAGCACTACACATCATTCCAAGTTTTAATTTTGGTATTTATGTTTTAATAATATATTTCTTAATTAAATGTATTTATTTTTTCCTCAAATAGTAATTGAAATACATTTTAATACTTTTGTACAGATTTATATATTTAAATAAATGCATACATGTACAGCATTATTAAATTTGCTCTGTATTATATTATGGTTTTTAAAATTATGTAAACCTACATCTCACATTTATTTTTCTTACTTCTAAAAATAGATTCAGCAGATAATTGAAGGGAAACTCTTCCCAATGAAAGCTCTAGGCTATTTTGCTGTTGTAACGGGAAAAGGTATGAAAAGATGGATTATTATAATTGAAGTTTTGATTGTTTTCAAATAGTAAACATTGATTTTCTTAGCGAGAACTTCACCATCATATTTCCCTAGGAAACAGCTCTGAAAGCATTGAAGCAATAAGAGAATATGAAGAAGAATTTTTTGAGAATTCAAAACTCCTAAAGTAGGTATCTTGCTTAAATATTTAGATTTTACAGTGAGAAAGTAGCTTAAACCCTTTTCACTTAAAAGTTTGTTTATAGCTGTTAGTTTAACATTGAATTTCCAGAATTTTTTCTAGATAGTTATCTGTATGTAATAAGTAAGTCCTCAAACTGCTCTGACAGATTTGGGAGCAATTCATCACATGGCACTGTGCACGCTGGCGTTATAAACTGCTCCTTGGCATGTGGACAGTGAAAGAAAACATAGGCACCGCCAAAGTTGTTTTACTTATAAAATGATTTTTAAAAATCAACACTGACATTTTTAAATATGTGTACACATTTCTCATAGTATTGGGGGAAGTTGGAGTGGTTATTCTCATTTGGTTATCATACAAGGAGATTCTCAAACTTGGTGATAGTACGTTCCTTTTGCCATTTTAATATACTTTAACTCTTATTGTTTTTTATAGGACAAGCATGCTAAAGGCACACCAAGTGACTACAAGAAATTTAAGCCTTGCTGTATCAGACTGCTTTTGGAAAATGGTACGAGAGTCAGTTGAACAACAGGCTGATAGTTTCAAAGGTAAGTTGGATTTTTAAAATAAGGCAACAAATTTAGACATTTTATTGGCTGGCAGTCTTAGGCAGCCATTAGATTCTTCACTCCCTGTCTTTTAACAGTTGCTTTTAGTTCATTTACTATTAGATAATATGTGGAAAATGGAAAAATACAAATCTTCAGTTGTTGTACAAAAACAGTATTTTTCCTTCCAGAGGAAACATTGTTGGGAGCACATTGCAGAGTTTAAATAGAATAGAAAGTTTGAAGTAGTGTTTGGGAGAAAGAGCTTAGGAAACTATAGTGAACTCAGAGTCTCCCTTTTTTGGGGGAAGAGGTATTGCATTGGGAAGCAGAGCAGCCTGTGCTTCAGCTACATTGTACTAGTTCCTGAATCCCACACTTTCCTGCTCCACGGCTTTGCTTCCGTAGTTCCATTTGGTGAGATTATACCTTTCTTCCCCTTTCCCACTTAGAAATTCCACCTGTTTGTCCCATTTAGTCATTCAGCAACCTTATAAGTATTATTATTCTTCCCATTTTACAGAAGAGCAAACTGAAGCACAGAGTAACTTACGTAGGTAGTACACCAATGTCATACAGGGATGGACCCAAGATTTCAGTCTTCATGGTATGAATCCAGAGTCCATGCTCTTAGCTACTGTACTCAACTGCTTCAGCTGCATGTTTTATGGATTAAAAAGGAGAAACTAAAATCAAGGAGATTAGTTTGGAAAACTGTTGCAATAATGAGATGCTGAGATGTTGAGAGCCCAAAGTACTCATTAGCCAAAGCTGCACACTCAGAAGTTCAATTAATGTAGAAGATATGTGAGATAGCCTTTAGCCACTGCATCTGGAAAAGAGAGAGTCCTCAAACTTGAACATCTTTCCTTCTTCCTCAGCAACACGTTTTAACCTTGAAACTGAGTGGAAGAATAACTATCCTCGCCTGCGAGAACTTGACCGGGTAAAATTTGTGTACCTCATGTATTTTGTATATATCTAATTTAATATTGTGCTCTATCAAAATTTGTTTTGATGAGTGAAATCTGGTAACTAAGTTGCTTTGGTTATCCATGTTTTGACCATGATTAGTAATTTATAGCTACAAGAATACATGTTTAAGAGCAGTTATCTTTTCTGCAATAATTTAAATTATTTCTTTCATAATATTAAAAAAATAATTAGGTAATCATAAGGTCAAAACAAGGGTTTAAAAATATTTTCTGAGAAGATGAAGAATTTTTTTTAAAGATCTTATAGAATTAATGTATTTATATAATGTAAACTTTTAAAAAGTATACAACTTTTTACCTTTTCAGTATTCATTGTGGAAAACTACACTCTAGTGGGATTTAAATACTGGTTTTCCTTGATTTTAAAATGCCACCACTTGTAAAACACAGCATCAGTTTACTAATATACTAATTTAATATGTATTAATTTAATACTTTCACATAACACTTGTTATGTGAAAAATTTATTTGAACAAATGTTATGTGAAAAACTTCATTCAGAATTAAGTGAATATGGTAGACATTTGTGTCAGTTTCTTTGTCCTCGTCTAGAACAGAAGAGCTGGTCATGCATGCTTCAAACCTAAGCTCATCCTACTAGCCTGTCAGAGACCTTCCTTTCAATTATCTCTCAAAATCATGGCAGGACAGATTGACTATCATATGAAAATCTTACTTACTTGTATCTATATTGCCTAGAATGAACTATTTGAGAAAGCTAAAAATGAAATCCTCGATGAAGTCATCAGTCTGAGCCAGGTTACACCAAAACATTGGTGAGTATTTGACCTTTTTCTCAAAGACTTTACTATGTGAATAATAATGAAATACTAAAATTTAGGTTGATAAAGCAGGGATTTATTGTAGCCTTGCCTTATCCCCCAAAACACTTAGTAAATAGGCAAGAACATAAAAGTATCTAACCACTATTCTAGTCTAACCAATTAAGTATTTAAATAGAATAAATTATGTATTTATTTAAGTATCCTTCAAAAGATTTATAGCTTTCTTCATGCTCTTTTTAAATTTTGATTCATCTTAGGCTTTTTTTTTTACCTTTAATATGTTTTGTACAAGTCACATTTCAAATCAAACCCTATTTGAGATTTGTTTAAAATAGCAAGTCAATGTATCCTTTTGAAAAATACTCATGAAAACCTCTTTCATGAGAAACTACCACCTTCAGTTTATGTTTTATATAAATTTGGGTGCTCTTAAATTTGCTCTAATGGGGCCTTGTAACCAAAGTAGGTTCTGTGCACCTCAAGTAAGCTGTGTATAAATAACCTTGAGATTTTGCAATCGTATTTTAATTAATAAACTCTTGTACATGTGTTTTCTTTCTAATGAAGTCTGTGGTATTTTAAAGAACTTATCGCTCTTGGACAAAACTATTCTTACTGCCATTCATTATAAATAGTTTCTGTACTATTCTCTTGGCTCTGTTGAAGATTATGAAAACTGAGCCTAAGCAGTTGTGTCCAGTCCTTAAGCTTGCTAGTATTGCTAGTGTCCCCACTTTGATGCCCTTTCTTTCTCAACAGTGAACCTTTTCTCTTTTCAAGTAGTCAAAATTTGCCAATTTTTAATCTTCCCTTATCAAAAGAAAAAAAAGGATTCTGATCATATCTATACTTATTGATTGATTAATCAGATATATATACAGAACAACTTATCTTTATCATTTGTATTTTAAACCAGTTCTGTGCTTTTCTTTAAGCCAGTTAGCTTTTGGAGTTGCAAGTGATAGATATAAATACACACACATACACAGAATGAATATACTACTACTCTTTCCTTACTAGGTTGCATGAAGATAATGCACTTAAAAACTGATTTGTAAACTATAATAACTAATAATGCTGTTTATTATTAGAGAAAAATATGGTGCTTCTGTAAATTTCTGGCATCATCAGATGGAATGGTTAGTTTTGTTTAGACAGAGCAAGTCTAAAATTAAAGTATACTGATACTAAAGCGAACCTTGAAGATAAATCTAATTTATTTAACACACAGGCGGCTGAAGGGAATTGCGAAGTGACAATAAGCCTGTATTGCCAGATTGCCTTTTGAGAAGGCAAGGGAGAAATCTGGCGCTAGATATTTATTGTGCGAGCTACTAGATCAGATAATTTTGTATATTTTATCACTTTTTTTTTTCGGGCTCTACAACTTAACACAAACATAGATCAAATAGCAGGTCCTAATGTTAACTGTTTGTGCCACATTGAATTCAACTGCATTGTACCCAAAACATTTTATTTTTGTGACATAGGTGATGTTGTCTCAGATAGTACCTTTTGGCTGCATAATGCTTTATATGATATTTTATAATGCGTAAGGTGCTTATAATTATTTGAGTCATAGGACTTTCATCTGTATATGGTGATCTGGAAGCAGTGTTACAAGCATTTTATGTCCTAACATTATAATTTATTCTTTACTCATAGACATTCTACTACACTTTAATCATATTTTAAGAAAGTTGTTAGATTTGATATATGATATATTATAGTGAAAAATAGGCTCTCAACATTTTTATACAATATACCTGATTATCACTGATTTTAAGCAGGGATATTTGTATGTCATTAACATTATACACACCATCATTATAGATATATATTTTTTGTGTGTCATTTAGAAGGATAGCTGGCTAAATTTATAAAACACACTTTAAAAAAAAATGGTACCATGGTATGCATATAAATTTTGGTGAAAAGCATTAAGTTTACTTTATAGAAGTTAAAAGAATGAAAGGAAAATGAGAGTGCACAGTTGAGTTCCTTAACTCAGATTTGAGGAACCGGAAAAGGTTTCTGATACCATAATCTGAGATTTAAAGGGTGAACGGTGGTAGGTAAAGGCAGTGATAAGAGTATTGTAGAGATCAGGAGGTAAGAGCAAGGAAGGCAACACAGATAGATGAAGGCTGTCACCTCTGGCTCTAGCATAGAAGGAAGCAAGAGGCAGGAGATAATGCAGTAGATTATTGAGGGCCTTACAAGCCATGTTTAGAAGCTTGGAATTTATCCCATGAACAGTGATGGCCGTTGAAGAGGTTTATTAGGTCAAATTTGCATTTTAGAAAGATCTTTGTAGTTGGTAAAATGGAATACAAGTGGAGAAAACTGAGCAAGGAGACAGTTGGCTATTGAAATAATCTAGACGAGAAGTGATTATAGCTTGAACTTGAATTGTGGTTGTGCAGGTGGAGAAGAGGAGACATTTTTTAGATATTTAAGAGGTTACCTAGAAGATAGAATTTACAGGGTTTAGTGATTGGATGTGTATAGGTAATGGAAGAGGAGTCAGTTTAACAGTGAGTACATTTATATCTAATAATTAATTGCTAGGAATCTATGGAAATGAAGATGTATTTGACAAAGATGAACACATAAGAATCTTCACCGGGGTTTTGTTTATAAGTGAAAAAAAGTGGAAAACTTATGTTTCCTGTTTGGAATTACATAATATTTGTAATCCATAGAGTAGATTACTGGGCAGCCATTGAAGATATAGGCTGTTGACATGAAAAACTATGATACAATTCTAAGTTTAAAAAGGTTTTAATAAAACAGTATATGCAATATCTACTTGTATAAATACACATGCACAGAAATATTTATATAGGCATTAAATTTTTAATGATAACTTAAACTCTATCTACTGAGAGAGGAATTACGGAAGGCTTCTCACCTTTTCTGTATTGGTCAAAACTGTTATATTGAGTAAATGCTTTGCTTTAAAAGAATAAATTTCCGTTTTGAAAAAAAAATTAATTAAAATAGAGTATAGGGAAAGTTCCTTGAGATAAAGAGGGGAATAAATAGAACCATAATGTGAATGATGTAATTAAAAAAATTAATTAAAATAGAGTATAGGGAAAATTCCTTGAGATAAAGAGGGGAATAAATAGAACCATAATGTGAATGATGTAATTAAAAAAATTAATTAAAATAGAGTATAGGGAAAATTCCTTGAGATAAAGAGGGGAATAAATAGAACCGTAATGTGAATGGTATTTTGTATATTTGTGGAATTTATCCTGCATGACAGCAAAACTTAGGATAAAGACGTCTACAGTCACAGAGGACATATGCTGGCGGAAGTGGTCATTGTAAGTTAGGGTACAAGATAATAGAACCATAATGTGAATGATGTTTTGTATATTTGTGGAATTTATCCTGCATGACAGCAAAACTTAGGATAAAGACGTCTACAGTCACAGAGGCGAAAGTGGTCATTGTAAGTAAGGGTACAAGATGGTGTAACAGGCTTGGTGGCCTCATAGTACAGTGTTTTTTTACATGAGAGTTTGGAACTGTTGGTCCAGAAGAGAAATTATGAGGGGAGGAGAATATGCCTATCTCTGAAGCACATTCAACTAATGAGCAGCTTCCACTCAGCAGAATTTTGAGGACAATCACTATCTATAACAAAGAGCCAGGAAAGATTTTAAGAAGGCAAGGAACAGGGAATGAGTGAGGATATAAAATGATTTGTTTGTTATAGAACTGTCCAGGGTCACAGTAAAAATTATTATGATGAAGATGATTAGGGGGAGTCTGGACAGAGGACAGTAGCTTAGTGATGAAAGGGCCAGTGAGGCTTGGGAAGGATAGGGGACAGTAGCCAACTAGGGTGGATTGGGAAGCAGCAAATTCCTTTGAGAAAGTTACTTTAAACTCACAAGGAGTTGGGGGTCTGGTTGTTTGTTATAGTCTCCTTGAAAGGGTGTCTGGGTTTTGGATACCCAACCCAAAGACTCCTGGGAAAAGATAACCACCTGTGTCTCTTCTGAGACAGGAGCAGCAAAAACCCTGGGTGATCAGATACTGGATCCTTGGTCTTTTGTTCATTTTTCAGAAATTTTCTTATGTTCGTGTTTAAAATGGTATGTGAATTGGAGGCCCTGACAAGCTTATTTCTTAAGCTTGCTCCTAAAATTCTCCCATTATCTGTTATTAATACCATGGCTAAATTGACTTTGTCCTCACCCAAGAAAATGCAGCTTTGCTTTTAGATAGCAGACATGTTTTGAGGCTACATCCTAAAGAGTAGAGGCTACTTTTAAAATAGACCACTTGATAGGCTGTGTTGTAGTATATTGTAGTATTATATTACAGTGGAAATTAGTTTGGGGGAAGCCAAATAAGTATTTTCCTGAGATTTTAATTTTTATTCTTGATTAAAATAGTTGTCTTTTTCTTATTTAGAGATCTGTGTTCACGTAAGATGTCCTTTAAGGCAGAATTTCCCACTTTTGATTATGAATCTTTTAGCTTAATCCTAAAGTGTCGGAACAACTTTACCTAGCAAAATCCCGTAACATCTCTGTGTTTTGTGTTGTGGTCTGATAAATTTTAAAATTATAACAAGAAGTTTTCTGTCTTGGACTCCATTTCACAGTCAACACATATAAAGTGTATGTTGATATTAGGCAAGCAAGCCAATGAAAAGATGCTTAGAATTATTAGTCATTAGGGAAATGCAAATTAAAACCACTATGAGATAACCACTATGATTAACCTGTTAGAATGACTAAAAAGGACTAACCTTATCAAGTGTTGGCAAAATGCAGAGAATCTAGAACTCTTATTCTCTCCTGGTAGGAATATAAAATGGTCCACCCATTTGGAAACAGTTTGGCAGTATCTTTAAAGTAAAATAAGTAAGTACCATATGATCAGCCATTCTACTTATAGATATTTGCCCAAGAAGAACAAAAGCATATGTCCATACAAAGACTTGTACATGAATGCTCATAGCAGCTTTATTTATCAGAAACTGGAAACAACCCAAATGACCATCAGCAAGTGAATAACTAGATTCATGTAATGAAGTACTACTCATCAGTGAAATATTGATATATACAACATGAATTAATCTCAAAATAGTTATGCTAGATGAAAGAAGACAGACAAAATAAGAGTACATTCTATATGACTGCATTTATATAAAATTTCAGAAAATATAAACATCTGTAGTGACAAAGCAGTGCTAGTGGTTACAGCTTTTGGGGGTGATGGATAAGTTCATTATCTTGATTGTGGTAATGCACAGGTGTGTACATATATCAAAACTTTAAATATGTGTAATTTATTGTAAGTTAATGGCAAAGCTGTTTTTAAAAACTTAATATTTAAATTTGGTGTTCTTGAAACTTTTTTATTTGTATTTCAGGGAGGAAATCCTT